AAATAATATAGGTCCCTCCACCCCCACTCTCCTGGCATGTCATTTCTATGCGCCGGGAGAGCTGGCCAAAGCCTGAAATGGAGGCTGGGTAAGTTTTCATTACTTTTCTAAGGGGACTGGAAGCTTTGGGGGAGGGGGGGTAGGACCTTCAGATGTTCTTGCAGGCCAGTCCTGCGAGAGCATCTAGACACCCACCCCAGAAAGTGCACTCTTTCTGGGGTGGGTGTGGACAGGTCCGCGGGAAAATCCACGTTTTTAAAACGTGGATTCTCCTGGGATAAATGCCTGTTTGGATCCACCCCGAGTTCAAAGCAGATATTGTGGGATTTTCTGCCTTGATATTCTGGGATATAGGGCTGTGTGGAAGGGCCTTCACATCCCTAGATAGAGCCAGGAGTAGTGGTCTGAGTGTTGTACTATAACTCTAAAGAACAGGGTTCAAAACTCCACTTGGCCATGAAAATCCATTGGGTGACCTTGGCCAAGTCACACACTCTTTGCTCCAGAAAACCCTGGGCTACTTTCATTTTAGGATTGCCATAATTCAGAACTGACTTGAAGGTATCAACAACCATGACTACATACACCTGGAAAAGAGTTTTGGAAACACCCTCCACCACCATTAAAATAGGAACTCTTGTGAACATTACCAAATAGTTTTCTCCAAAGAAATAAAGATAGTGCCATTAAAACACCGAATACAAGTTTGAAGAGCCTCTGGGTCTGATATCATATCTCCACAACTGCTTCCAGGGTTGTTGGAAGATACATCCCACATTTCATCTGGTTTCCTTGACAAGGTTTAATATATTTATCACTGCATGACAGAAATTTTGACAGCTATATCTTTGGCTGATATGGAAATACAGTGATAGGAAAGCTGTTTATCAGGATTAGTTTACCATTAGGCAGAGTGAGTCAGCTGCCTCGGGTGACAGATTTTGAATGTACTGTAGAGGCAGCTAATTCCTAGTTATTCTGTTATTGTTATTTGTTTCTACTGACAGGGAGGTGGAAATTGGTCCTGGTGGTACTTTCTGCCTGAGGGCCCCCAAAATAATTTAGCTGGACTATGACTTTTGGGGGAAAGTTTTTTTATTTTAGCTCTAGTAGCAAAAGTATGCAGAGTTGCTGATATAGCTGTAAAAGGTGGAAAATCTACTATGAGACTTTGGGCCCTTCCACACAGCCCTATATCCCAGAATATCAAGACAGGAAATCCCACATTATCTGAGTGTGGACTCCGATATTGTGGGATTTTCTGCCTTGAAATTCTGGGATGTAGGGCTGTGTGGAAGGGCCTATGTATTCATGTATATGTCACTACAAGATTTAATTTACTTAATCATTGATAATTATGAAATGCCATAATCAATGCAGCCCCCTTCCAATCTTCTAAAGTGTATAGTGTAAAGTGTATAAAGTGTAAAGTGTATAGGCCCCTCGGCTATGGAACGCCCTTCCCATGGAGGTAAGATCAGCCCCCTCGCTGATGGTGTTCCGAAGAAGATTAAAAGACCTGGATGTTCGAACAGGCATTTGGTTAATCGGTGCAATGAATGTGATGATTACAGGAATGGTAATATGGTCGACGAAACTGGATCACGATTTTAGTCATGAGATGCATTGGGTTGTTATTGTTGTGTCAATATTGTGTATTATGCTTTTATGGTTTTAAATTGTATATCGTTGACTGTTGTACCTTTGTTGTAAACCGCGTTGAGTCGCCTGTTAGGCTGAGAAACTGCGGTATACAAGTAAAGTAAATAAATAAATAAATAATAAATATAGAGTCAATGTGTGGAAGAAAGTTGGAGCTACACCTCATGATCCTATTTCATTGGATTGCTTTGCTGTGCATTTTTCAATTTCATGTGAACTGCAAGCGTTCTCTTTTCACAGCCTCTGTAGCCCAAACCATAGTCTTGTGTGTGGAAATTTGCACAAAAGCTACCATAGTCTTGAAATATGTAATTAATCAGTTAAAGGAACATAAATGCTTTGTCAGGAAAAAAAGGTTTTTTAAAAAGGCCAAGCAAAGACAATAGGGGGAAAATTGATGAATACAGATGAAGTTCCCTGGGGAAATATTGAGAATAGTTAGCATCATATGCTTCATAAACAGACTACTGTTCATGTAAGACAAGTTCCCCTTCTCCTTTTCTCCGGTGCAATTCTTCCATGCCTCCCAGATCTACTCTTCTTGCCACCTCTTCTAATCCAAAATCAGAACTGACTTGAAGGTATCAACAACCACGACTACATACACCTGGAAAAGGGTTTTAGAAACACTCCCCACCACAGGTGGACGTTAATTTGGTGTTACTGCAAGGAGATCTGGAGCCAGTGGCATTCAGTGGGCAAGCAATGTTTGTACAGGCATCCCCCTGTTACAAACAAGTCTCTGAGTTACAAACATCCAACTTATGGCTCATAGGAAAGAACGGGGTGAGACAACAGGAAGTGAGAGAAATCTACCCCTCAGAAATGAAATTCCCTCCTGAAAGAGTTATGGGGTAAAGGTGTCTCAAATGAAGCTTTTATCACCAATTGTTGTCCACAACAAATACAGACAGCAAAACAAACACACTTCCCTATGCTATCCAAAGGATGGATTTTTTAAGTGTAACTCCATCCGTGTGTGTGTGTGCGTGGAGTTACACACTATGTGTATGTGTGTATTACTATGAGATGGCTGAAAGTGAGGAGGAGTTGAGAAGCCTTATAACCAAGGTGAAAGAAGTAAGTACAAAAGCTGGGTTGCTGTTAAACATAACAAAAACCAAGATTATGACAACCAGACAGATTGATAACTGGCAAATATAGGGAGACAGATTTTGCATTTCTAGGTACGAAAATTACCGCAGACACAGATAGCAGCCAGGAAATCAGAAAACGTTTTACTTCTTGGGAGGAGAGCAATGACCAAGCTTGATAAAATAATGAAGAGTAGAGACATCACACTGGTAACACCGATCCGCATAGCAGTGGTATTCCCCATAGTAACCTATGGATGTGAGAACTGGACCATAAAGAAGGCTGAGTTTTGAACTGTGGTGTTGGAGGAAAATTTTGAGAGTGCCTCAGACTGCAGATAAAACCAGTCCAAACTCCAGTAAATAAAGCCGGACTGCTCACTTCAAAGATAAAGTACTTCAGCCACATAATAAGAAGATGGGATACTTTGGTGAAGATAACGATGCTGGGGGAAATGGAAGGAAAAAGGAAGAAGGGCCGACCAAGGGCAAGATGGATGGATCTTTTTTACATATCAGAAGCATTGCATAAAATAGTATAAAAACTGATAAAAATAGAGGGAGCACAAGCAGATAAATATCTTTTGACCAACTGCTTCAGGAACTGCTTTAAATAATTAATTACATTTAGAAAGTCATAGAGAAGTGGTAGAGAGAACCCAATAGAGTCTCTAACTAATGCTGAAGTTAAAAGGTCCAAAAAAACCTAAACATGTGCCTTTTTCAATCTAAGAATTCAATTTAAGAATAAACTTACAGAACCTATCTTGCCTGTAAGTTGGGAACTGGCTGTAGAGCATGCCAGATGACAGGCCCCTTTTGCTCTGCCATATAATCTAGATTATCTGCTTTGTACTGGATTATATGGCAGTGTTCACCCATCCGTAGGGATACCAAGGTGCTTGTTTATAAAACTATTGTCCTCCCAACTCTGCTATACACCTGCAAGACATGATCTACAGATGTCACATGCAACTCCTAGAACGATGTAATTAGCGTTTCCTCCGAAAAATCCTCCAAATCTCTTGGGAAGACAAGCAGACAAATGACAGTGTGCCGGAAGAAGCAAAGACTACCAGCATTGAAGCGATGGTCCTCCGCCATCAACTCCGCTGGACCAGCCAAGTTGTCCGGATGTCCAACCACCATCTCTCAAAGCAGTTGCTCTACTCCAAACTCAAGAATGGAAAACAGAACCCAGTGATTCCGGCCATGAAAGCCTTCAACAATACACGGAAAACAGAATGTTCGTGAGCAGGAAAAGAGATTTAAAGATGGGCTCAAAGCCAACCTTAAAAACTCTGGCATAGACACTGAGAACTGGGAAGCCCTGGCCCTTGAGGGCTCCAACTGGAGGTCAGCTGTGACCAGCAGTGCTGTGGAATTTGAAGAGGCACAAATGGAGGGCGAAAGAGAGAAACGTGCCAAGAGGAAGGCACATGAAGCCAACCCCGACCGGGACCGTCTTCCACCTGGAAACCAATGCCGTCACTGTGGGAGAAGATGCAGATCAAGACTAGGGCTCCACAGTCACCTACAGACCCACCGCCATTACATTGATCCTGGAAGACTATCCTACTCTGACAACAAGGGATCGTCTAAGTAAGTAAGTGCAAAGGTAAAGGTAGTCCCCTGACATTACGTCCAGTCATGTCTGACTCTGGGGTGTGGTGCTCATCTCCATTTCTAAGCCGAAGAGCCAGCGTTGTCCGTAGACACCTCCAAGGCCATGTGGCTAGCATGACTGCATGGAGCGCCGTTACCTTCCCGCCGGAGCGGTACCTATTGATCTACTCACATTTGCATGTTTTCGAACTGCTAGGTTGGCAGAAGCTAGGGCTGACAGCGGAAGCTCACGCCACTCCCCGGAATCGAACCTGCGACCTTTCGATCAACAAGCTCAGCAGCTCAGTGCTTTAACCCACTGCGCCACTGGGGGCTCCTGGTGTAAGTAAGTAAGTAAGTAAGTGTAGACTCATATAATCCACTTAAGCAGCTGAAGGGGAAAAAGAAAGGGCCTGAGGCTGTTAGGAATGGTGGGAGTTGAAGTCCAAAACACCTGGAGGGAGGGCCCAAGTTTGCCCAGGCCTGCTATGGAATCATGGGAGTGTTAGGGCTGGCAGTTGACAAGTGTCCTAAGCATGCACTACTTCCCCTCGGAAGGCAGGGGGCGCCGTGCCCTTGGGCGCGAGGCAGGCGGTGGGCGGGGCCTGCTCCCCCTCAGCGCCGCACGAGGGAGCCTGTCACGTGACAGGGCTGCGCGAGCGCCAAGAGGGAGAAGCCGCAGCAGCAGCAGCAGCAGCAAGCGCTGAGGAGAAGGAGTCATGGAGCTGGTGCTGAGGGCGCTGCTGTGGGTCTCGGCCGCCCTGGCGGCTTCTGCCTCCCCCTTCGGCTCCCTCTGGCCCCTGCCCCACTCCGTGTCCCTCTCGCCCGACCGGCTGCAGCTCTCGCCCAGGCGCTTCCAGATCACCCACGGCCCGGGCTCCTCGGCGGGACCCGGCTGCGCCTTGCTGCAGGACGCCTTCCGAAGGTGAGCCCTCCAAGGAGCTGCACCTGCCTGGCGATGGAAGAGGAGGGATCGGGAGCATCGGGATAATAGTGTTCTCCCAACCGCAGTTCACCTCAGAGTGAAGCAGAAATGGAAAGAAGGGGAGAGAGATGGGATACAAATAGGATGCTAATAATAATATAGTTTTTATTAATCTCAACTACAATTCCTCTCAGAGTGAAGCAGAAGTGAAAAGGAGAGAGAGATCATACAAATAGGATGATAATAATAATAATAATAATATAGTTTTTTCTCCCAACTACAATTCCTCTCAGAGTGAAGCAAAAATGGAAAGGAGAAGATGAAAAAGAGAGAGAGATCATACAAATAGGATGTTAATAATAATAATAATAATACAGTTTTTTCTCCCAACTACAATTCCTCTCAGAGTGAAGCAGAAGTGAAAAGGAGAAGGTGAAAAAGAGAGAGAGATCATACAAATAGGCTGCTAATAATAATAATAATAATATAGTTTTTTCTCCCAACTACAATTCCTCTCAGAGTGAAGCAAAAATGGAAAGGAGAAGGTAAAAAAGAGAGAGAGAGAGAGATCATACAAATAGGATGCTAATAATAATATAGTTTTTATTAATCTCAACTACAATTCCTCTCAGAGTGAAGCAGAAATGGAAAGGAGAAGGTGAAAAGRAGAGAGAGGATCATACAAATAGGATRCTAMTAMTAMTAATAATAATAATAATAATAATAATAATAATAATAATATAAGTTTTTTCCCAACTACAATTCCTCTCAGAGTGAAGCAAAAATGGAAAGGAGAAGGTGAAAAGGAGAGAGAGGATCATACAAATAGGATGCTAATAATAATAATAATAATAATAATAATAATGGCCGGAATCACTGGGTTGTTGTAGGTTTTTTCGGGCTATATGGCCATGTTCTAGAGGCATTCTCTCTTGATGTTTCGCCTGCATCTATGGCAAGCGTCCTCAGAGGGTTTTTCCTAGTTCCCACACACCTCACTACTGAGGATGTTTGCCATAGATGCAGGCGAAACTTCAGGAGAGAATGCCTCTAGAACATGGCCATATAGCCCGAAAAAACCTACAACAACCCAATAATATAGGGTTTTTTTCTCCCAACTGCAATTGCCCTCAGAGTGAAGCAAAAATGGAAAGGAGAAGGTGAAAAGGAGGGAGAGATCATACAAATAGGATAATAATAATAATAATAATATAGTTTTTTTTTCTCCCAACTGCAATTGCCCTCAGAGTGAAGCAAAAATGGAAAGGAGAACGTGAAGGAGAGATATGAAATAAATAGCATGCTAATAATAATAATATAGTGTATTTTTCCCAATTGTAGTTGCCCTCAGAGTGAAGCAGAAATGGAAAGGAGAACGTGAAGGAGAAATGTGATATAAATTGGATGCTAATAATAATAATAATAATAATATAGTTTATTTTCTCCCAACTGCAATTGCCCTCAGAGTGAAGTAAAAATAAAAAGGAGAAGGTGAAAAAAAGAGAGTTATGATACAAATAGGATGCTAATGATGATGATGATGATGATGATATTTTTCTCCCAACTGCAACTCCTCTCAGAATGAAGCGGAAATGAAAAGGAGAAGGTGAAAAAAAGAGAGATTATATAAATAGGATGCAAATGCTAATAATAATAATACTATAGTTTGAAATGGGCTCTTGGAAAGGAGAAGGTAAAGAGAGACATGATCAGTGGTGATGATGCTAATAGTAATAATTTCCCTCCAACTGAAATTCCCCTCAGAGTAAAGCAGAAATGGGCCCTTGAAAAGGAGAAGGGGAAACATGGCAGAGCACTCTCCAATATCTTAATAAGTGGTTCCTAAACTTTGTCCTTCTGGTGTTTTGAACTTCAGTTCCCAGAATTCCTGGCTGTTGGGCAAGCTGGCTGAGGTTTCTGGGCTTTGGAGTCGACAAATCTGGAAGACCAGAGTTTGGGGATCACTGAACCAGGCCTGCACAATCTGTGGTCATCCTGGTGCTTGGGACTTCAACTCCCAGAAGCCCTAGCCCAATTGTCCAATGATCAGGAATTCTGGGAGCTGAAGTCCAAAACTTCTGAAGGGCCATAGGTTTTTGACACTACTTTAACTGACACAGAATAATGCTATAGAATTCTGGGAGTTGTAGTTCAGTGAGGCACTAGCATTCTTTAAAGGAGGTTTGTCTATGATGGATGGCATTCTCTTTCAGTGGAAGTTGGGGAACACTTTCCCCATAAATACAAGAGTCACAGTTAAACAATTTTAACTCTGTGATTTCATGTAAGATGTTGTAACATATTTGGAGAAATGATAGCTATTAAAAGCATGCAGCAATGCTGGTGATGTAGTGAAGCAACAAGGAGAGTTGTGTCATGCTGAATATCTGTTCTGTTGAGAAAAATTGTGTAGGTGAGTGCATTTGGCAGGAATAACATCTCTCACCTATATGATGTGATACCGTGACAATTTTTGCACCGTTCTACATGATTTTCAAAAGAACAAGGTTGTTGTCCGTCCTCTATCCACCCACATAAAACACTGTACCTAATCAGAATGGCTGAAGTGTCTGTTCTCAGTTGTAAACTGAACATTGTGTGATTACTAGAATTAATATGTAGAATATCCATAAAATGATTTTAAATTGCAATGCTGAAAGCTTTCTAACACTCTTTAAGGAACCACAGGGATAGTAGCTCATTAGTGGTACTTGTTTTCTTACACACATAGCTGGTAATTACGCAATAGTTTGCCCTGAAATAATTTTAATATCCACTTCCTTTGAGCACAAGAGGTTGTTTAACCACTTCATTTACCTTGAAGTAAATGTCATTCAGATCAGCCTTCCGTTAAGAGATATTTGCAGCTACACCACTCATTTGCTTAGAATTAAATTTACAAATCAGTTAAAAATAACTTAAAACAGTTAAGATCACTAAAGCAGCACCCGTGTGGCTTGTTCTTTAAAACTTTCTTGTCCTTGTCTAGGTTATGTACATTCTGAGAGCCACTTTCATATCTATAATTTACATATATTTTTAAATCTCACATTTAAACAGTATTTACTGCTCATGCACTTTATGAGTCTTGATCGCCCGTCTTCTCCATGGGATCTATTTTTATTAGTGTTTTAATCTATTGCTTACTTGTTGTTCTTTTTAGAGTGTTGTGTGTTTTTATGACTGTATGTGTCATTGAATGTTTGCCTTTTGCTTTGTAAGCCGCCCTGAGTCTCTCTGGGGAGAAAGGGTGGGCTAGAAATAAAGTATTACTATTATGATAATTTCTTCTATAAAAGCCTCTCTAAATAAAAAGGTTTTAGCCTGCCCTCAGAATGACAACAGGGAATGGGGATGATGATGATGATGACGACGACAACGGCAACAACACTTTATTTTTATTCTGCCCTGTCTCCCCAAGGGGACTCAGGTACACATACATGGCAAACATTCAATGCTGTTTTGGATAGATAGGACAGAGACAGACAGAACAGAAAGGAGGTAGGTTGTGTTGACGTCCAGCTTTTTGGTGCCTTGATGTTTCTGTTAGTGGGTGAGTGGGCCAGAAAAGGTTACTTGGGGTTTAGTTATGCTGCAGAATTATAGAAGTTTTATACCACTTCAACAGCCATTGCTCAATGCTATGGAATTCTGTGATTTGTAGTTTTGTGAGATATTTTGCCTTCTTTGTCAGAGAACCCTGGTGTCACAATAAACTAGAAACCTCAGAATTCTGTATGATTGAGCCATTAGAGATAAAGTGGGGTCAAACGGCTATCATTCTGCAGTGTAGCTACACCCAAAAGTAAGTATACTTCACTAAGTGAACCTTGAGCTTGTTTGGAGGTTCTAGCAGGGGAGCGACCTTTAGACCTAATGAGTTTGTTCAGGACTGTATCCCTCTTCTCTTGAGCTGCTCATTGACCGTAATAAAGTGAACTTGAACTTACTAAGTGATACATGAATAGCATGTATGAACATCCGATGACATAGGGTGTGAGCAGAGGCATCCTAAAAACTAGGAATTTATCATGATAACATGACAACATGATAACCTTTGAGTTGTGATGAAGGGAGCTAGTTCTAGTCATTCTCCACCATTTATGCTGAAAAATGGAAGCTTGCCTCACAGCTATAATTCCTGAGGATACCATCTAATGGGATTCATTTCACAGTCTGTTGTTTTCTGAACTGGAATAGACTCACCCTCTAGACTAGACTATATTCTGGAGAATCTTCCCCACTTTTGGACATAGAATTATAGAGTTGGAAGTGCTTTAAAGATCATTTAATCCATCTTCCTTCCAGTTCAGGAATGCCAGTAATAGAACATCCAAACATCAACTTAGGGCCCAACCACACAGCCATATAACCCAGAATATCAAGGCAGAAAATCCCACAATATCTGCTTTGAACTGGGCTGAGTCCACACTGCCATACATTCCAGTTCAAAGCAGATAATGTGGGATTTTATTCAGCTGTGTGGAAAGAGCCTTAGGACTCACATAACCCAGTTCAAAGCCAATATTGTGGGATTTTCTGCCTTGATATTCTAGGTTATATGACTGTGTAGAAGGGCCCTTAGAGACCTCATGCAAAGAGAAGAATGCCATCTTCCAAAATACTTTATTCTGCCATCAAACTACTCCCAGAAAGTTCTTTCCAATATTTAAACATTTTCTCTTTCATTTTAATTTTACCCTGGTTTTTTTGCGTCCTATATGTACTTGTAGGAAGCTGTCATCAAATAATGTCTTTGTGATGTACACTTCCAGGTATTATGAATACATATTTGGGTATTCCAAATGGCAGAATCAAGATGAGAACAAACTTATTTCTGAAGCAGAACTGTCTTCACTCCAGGTCATTATCACTTCAGCAGATTCTGAGTGTGATGCATACCCTACCCTCGCATCAGATGAAACTTGTGAGTATGTAAAAGTGCGGAGGTGTGTAGCCTAGTCGTGTAGCCTTGTTGAATCATCTTCTTTTCCATTACAATATCTTGACCACTCCTCTTTTCTCATACTAGTTTATTTATATTACAGGCATTCCCCAAGTTACAAACTATTGACTTACATATAATTCATAGTTAAGAATGGGGGTGAGACTTAAAAATGTTCCTGTTCCAACTTACATACACATTCAACTTAAGAGCAAACCTACATAACCTATCTTGGGTTGTTGTAGGTTTTTCGGGCTATATGGCCATGCTCTAGAAGCATTCTCTCTTGACGTTTGACCTCACAACCTCTGAGGATGCTTGCCGTAGATGCAGGCGAAATGTCAGGAGAGAATGCTTCTAGAGCATGGCCATATAGCCTGAAAAACCTACAATAACTCAGTGATTCCAGCCATGAAAGCCTTCAACAATATATAGAACCTATCTTGTTTGTAATTTGGGGACTTCCTGTACTAGGCACTGTTTTCCTCACATACATAGCTGTCTGAAATCATCCTCTTATGTAACGGATTATTAGGTGAGTAGCTAAAGAAATCAATTTGATTCACCTCCAGAAAAGATCATGACTCATATTCCCGGTAAACAGGATTAATTGTGCTGTGTTTGACGCTTGTTAGCATTGCATTAATTTTGTGTAATCAGTCAGACAGTTGAGTCTCCAACTTAAATAGAAACTCACATTGTCATAAAACTCACATTGTTGATCAGCGTTTCTCAACATGGGGGTCGGGACCCCGGGGGGGGGGTTGCGAGAGGTTTTTAGATGGGTCACCAAAGACCATCAGAAAACATATATTTCTGATGGTCTTAAGAACCCCTTTGGCAAAGAAGGCTGAAGATCCCTCTGCCTGTCCTTCTCTTTCTTTTTGGAAACAGATGGCAAATCCTCCCACCAAAAGCTCTCCTCAGCGGTGATTGGCCAGTGTCTCAGCTGACCTCTCAGCCATGGGGAGAGCTGTTTCTGAGACTCCTATTTGGAAGGGGAGAGCAGGCATGCTTCGCGCACGGTGAAGCAAGGGAGAGTGTGCAAGGCTAGAGGGAAGCTTGTGCCAGCGAGTTTAGCCCAATTTTACTGTTGGTGGGATTCAGAATGCTGTTTGATTGTAGTGAACTATAAATCCCAGCAACTAAAACTCCGAAATGTCAAGGTGTATTTTTCCCAAACTCTACCAGTGTGCACATTTCGGCATATTGAATAATCATGCCAAGGTTAGTCCAGATTTATCATTGTTTGAATCCACAGTGCTCTCTGGATATAGGTGAATTGCAACTCCCAAACTCAAAGTCGATGCCCACCAAACCCTTCCAGTATTTTCTGTTGGGAGTTCTGTGTGCCAAATTTGGTTCAGTTCCATTGTTGGTGGAGTTCAGAATGCTCTTTGATTGTGGGTTAACTATAAATCCCAGCAACTACAACTCCCAAATGACAAAACCAATTCCCCCACCCCACCCCACAACCCCACCAGTATTCAAATTTGGGTGTATCAGGTAATTGTGCCAAATTTGGTCCAGTGAATGAAAAGACATCCTGAATATCAGATATTTACATTATGATTCATAACAATAGCAAAATTACAGTCATGAAGTAGCAACAAAAATAATTTTATGGTTGAGGGTCACATGAGGAACTGTATTAAGGGGTCGCAGCATTAGAAAAGTTGAGAACCACTGTTGTAGATGAACACATGTAGGACTAGAATCAATGTTGCAGAGCACATTGGGCCTATTCACCTTTCCAGTCAGTTCTTCTGCAATGTCCCGTCCCCCCATCCCCCCCAAAATGGTAAGGTTTTCTTGAGACTTAGGTACATTCAATTTTCTAGAACTAGCTTTCACCCCGAAAACATTATTGTACTTTTACAAAATGTGTTCCTCTTTCTTCAAGGATAGTATTGTTTTGACATTCAAAATGCCAGAAATAAAAAAACATGGCTTTGCTGTATCCTGTCAATTACATTGGATGTAATAGTCAAAGGTGTGGATTGGTCATCTTGAATACTATCTTCTAAAGGGAAATAAGATTTCACTTCCTGTTTCACTTGCATTTTTGTTTAACAATGTTACTCACTGCGGTAAACAGCTTAGAGCACATCTATACAACTTTTATCTATATTTGGCAGCCCTGTTAGTCAAGCTGACATTTTTAAAATGTGAACTGGGCTAGTAAAAGAGGAAGTCACAAACAGTTGACTGATTCAGAGAAATCTTTGTTTCTAAGAGTCTGTTTGTAGTCAGAGTGGGCAAATAGATCAAGAGTTGCATACAGCTTCTGTGGCTCATGGAACCTCTGTTAGAGTTTGTCAAAATCTTCCTTGCCTAGGTAGGGGAGTTTTTTAATAGTGTAGATCCAGATTGTGTTTGCTATTCATCTTATTGGTAGGGACCAACTTTTCCCCTGTTAGTTAACTATTSTTGCATTCCAGCTGAGTTGCAACAAAGGGACTGTGGAGAAGGTGTTTGACCCCCCCCCCCCTTCCATCTGCCTCTGATAACCCCCCTCCCCCACTTCCTGTGATGTTACTAAGTCTAAAAAAAGAACGAACAGGTCTGCAGATACTAGTCTTCATGTCAATGTGTTTGTGCTGGAAGATGTAGTGGATGTGTGATTGTGTGAGATGTAGAGGACGACTCCAGTGCTTCTTACCCTGACTCTACCCAGACAACTCCTGAAAGTAGCCATATTAATCCATTAAAAAATCCACAGGCAATTCTTTATAAAATACCAACTACTATCGCAAAACAATATGAAAGGTTTTTTTCCTCCAGAACTCTGCACCAGTGATTTTCAAACTGTGGGGCATAACTTCAGGAGAGTGCAAAATTGCCGAGGGGATGCAAGAAGCATTAGCCTTTCAAATACAAGCTGCAAGTAAAAATAAAGTCACACCTCTGTGCCTTTTTCCAACTTTATAAATAATTTCTCACTCAGTTCCCAGGACATTCTATCATTAACACAGCAGGCACATTCCCCTTGGATAATGTGTACTAAGACAGAGGGTGAATTATGATAATACCTACACTAAACAGAGAAAATATTTTAATTAAAATATAATGTCAAATGAGGGAGGGCTCAGTGTCCACAAAGGAGGTCAAAGGGACTAAAAAAAAAATAGAAAATAGACATGGAGAAGCCTCAAAGTTCAAAAAATGTGGCCAAGTATTTTAAGTCATGAGGTCTATGGAATCTCAGTCCCAGGACAGTAATAGTAGCTTTAATCTATCACTGGTGAGTGGATATTACATGCATCTAGAGTAGTGGTTCTCAACCTGTGGGTCCCCAGATGTTTTGGCCTTCAACTCACAGAAATCCTAACATCAGTTAAACTGGCTGGGATTTCTGGGAATTGTAGGCCAAAATACCTGGGGACCTGCAGGTTACGAAACACTGCTCTAGAGTATAATACAGAAGTTCACTGTGCTTAAAAATACAAACTTGAAGTCACAGAAACCTCTCTGTTACCATGGATGCAGTCTGGCACATTGACTTCAAATTGGTGTAAGTGGCCATTATGCCAGGATTGCAGCCAAAATATTTGGAATTATTTCCCTGAGAGCTAAATGTGTTTCATAACTGTTATTACTCAAAACCAATTTATGTCACTTTTCTTTTAAAGATCAGCTCATAGTTTCAGGACCCACAGCTGTACTGAAAGCAAACAAAGTCTGGGGAGCATTAAGAGGTAAGTTATAAAATAATAGGTACTCTGTTGATTCAAATCTGGCATCCAGCCTCCTCTTTCCTCTAGTGGCTATCTAGATACAATAGAAGATCAAAGCTTCTCACATGACTTTGTTCCCCAGGAGTTGCCATTTGATGATTACTGTCATTTAGCTTGAATATACATGTTTGTAATGTGTGATGAAAGTTAATTTTTCCCCATCTCACAGTTGTAGCTCATGGCTGAAGGCAAATTAACTTGATTTGTGATGATACAGATTCAGTGTGGAACTCAAGTAATCTTATCTAGCTTTTTAAAAAATTAACCCCAATGTTTAATTGCATGAATCATCCCAGTATTGGTGTGATTAGGTAATAAAATCATTACATTTCACGCTGATTTTGTTAGCCTCTCCTTGCATTTAAATGAAGTGGTGAATTTTTTTCTCAAAAAAAGAGAGAAGTACACATTGTCTGTTCAGCATAAGGAAAGAACACATGTTCTAAATCCACACTTTCCACCACCGACATTGTCTCCAGTATCCTTTTGGATGAGTTTTGAATGTTCTTTAGTTCTGTTTCCTTCAAATGCCCAAAGTAATTATTACATTACTTTAATGTTAATTATTGTCTCTTTATTTGACTTGCAGGTTTAGAAACATTCAGCCAGTTGATAAATGAAGATGATTATGGAACTGTGAGTATTTAGATTACCACTTCATTTAGAAACCGCATTGAGTCGCCTGTTAAGGGCTGAAAAATGCGGTATAGAAATAAAGCAAATAAATAAATAAATACCACTGCTAATTTAGTTTTGTCCTCATATTTGGGCTTAGGGCCTCCCACACAGCTATATAACTCAGAATATCAAGGCAGATAATCCAGAATATCTACTTTGAACTGGATTAACTGAGTCCACACTGCCATATAATCGAGTTCAATGTGGATTTTATGCAGCTGTATGGAAAGGGCTTTAGTCACTGCCATTAATGATTTCAAGCATGTCTGTTATGTGCTGTATAATGTATAGAATGCATTCTGTATAATAGTTTGTGCTTTGCTTCAGAGATTTTGAGAAGTCTGGAGTATGACAAACATGCATAATTGTGTTCCTCAAGTATTGACTAGAATATGAGTGATGAATGCCTCCTGAGACAGGAAAGCATCCCTGTTGTACAGAGCCACACCACACTCTTGCTTTGAAGTCCTTCTCCTATAAAAATGTTTGTCAAGTTCTGGAAATATGTTTGTTTCTATGCTGTCTGTAGATTTACCTACACCACCCCACTTATTTTTCATTGGTATGTCTAAAACCTTTTTTTTTTTTACCAGAGACCACTTTGACCAGGGACCACTCTCTAACATTAGTACCAAAAGGATTACAAATCGGTTTTTGGTCAACTTTCAATTTGGTTGGGTTATTTGGAGTGCTGATTCAGAAAATTGCATTGGCTAGATCACATGAGCTCTAGTTTCTGATACAGAACATATGCCATCCAGTAGTCCCCATCTGCATGCCCACAGAAAACCATATTTTTATAAGCCTCGGCACTGTAAGAGGGTTTCATGAGACCAGTTGCTCTCATTGCAACAGTGTAGTAATGGTGAGGCTGCGGACCATATTTTAGTTCTTGCGGACCACTGATGGTCCACAGGTCACAGGTTGGGAACTACTGGTCTAAAAGGTCTAAGTTGGTAACTACATAGTATAATTCTGGGGAAAGGAGTAGAATAGCAACTCTCCTGATTTTAGGGTACATGGGTGGAACTGCATCTGTTGAATCTTTCCTATTGGAATAGGAAGGAAAATAAATTCAAATATTTGTCTTGTAGAATGGAATTCTAAATAGATATGATGACGATCTTTGATGACATATCATCTTGAAAATTTTCATAAATATTTTTGGAATTGAAGTTACTATTAATTTCATGTCTGGGATGTTGTGTGGTTTCCGGGCTGTATGGCCGTGTAAAGGGGTACAATTAGCGATCTTGATTTACATGTGTTGAGTGGGATCCACCCATTAGCATGTGAATAACCATGAAGATAGCATAGTCAACTAGTGAAGGCATCTGCATAGAAGTAGCCTGGCCTTCATTCCTTTTGAATTGTTTCCTGCCTAGAGACATCCTTTGATTCAGTTTTTTTTTTTTTTAGTCGTGTCAGGAGCAACCGCTCCTGTTGTGAGAGAATTGGCTCAAAAGAAACAAAAGCCAGACTACTTCTGTGTGAATGGCCTCACTAATTGACTATGTTATATTCATGGTTACTCACATGCTAATGGGTGGATCCCACTCAACACATTCAAATCAAGATTGCTAATTGCACCCTTCACACAAGTTTAACAGACAATGGTTCTTTCTCCCACTCTGAACATCCCACAGGTATGTATACTGCACTTGGTTTACTACAACTTGCTGTTCTGAAGATGCCAACCACAGATGCAGGCGAAACAGCAGGAGAAAATGCTGCCAGAACTTGGCCATACAGCTCAGAAACCACACAATGCCCCAGTGATTCTGGCTATGAAAGCCCTTGACAATACAATTATTTATCTGTTTAGATTTACTGAACACATTTCTTTTGGAAAATGTGAATCTCCATAACCATTTGGGAAATGGGATTCATAACCCTTTTGGAAAATCACTGGTCAAATGAGCTTTTGGAAATAGAGTTTCAGAAGTGTTTTTTTAGTTGCCCAAAAACATCTACTCTCCCTTAAAATATATTTGCCTTTAAGTCATGCTCTCAAGAGACAAAATAAACAGTCTTCTTTAAAAGTAACCGTTGGTTTACTCACAAACTTCATGTATACATACAACATACAAGGACTTTGTTTATGAATCCAATTACAATAGGATTTTAAGTAGTTTCTCCATGTAGGTTACACAGGGCATCTTCTTAGAATCAATAGTCCAAAGTGTGTCTTTGTTTTGAGAGTCTAATAAATCTCTAAACATACTGTTCCTGTAGTGAAGTCTAAACTAAACTGTTCCTACTGAGGTCTAAACTGTAGTCACTGCTTCTGATGTAAACAATAAACATACACTGGCTTCTAAAGGCATCTGCTTGCTTCTACTCTCTCTAAGAGTCTTACTGTCTTCTAAAAACTAAAATGGAGTCCTGAACATGCCTAGTTCTGATCACATGGTTTGCAACCTCTCCCACAATAAAGAAGTTAGGTAAAATTGCAAACCAATACACACATACAATACAGTAAGCAATTATATACATGACAAATAACTAGTGGAGGTTTGAGAAGGTTAATATTTCCAACAATTTCTCCCCTGTTCATTTCACAGTATCCTGCCCCAAAATCTAAACTCTAAAAGTCTATTTCTCGTCTTTTTTTGTTTTCATAGTTTTTTATCAATAAATCTGCTATTACTGATTTTCCAAGATTTTCCCATCGAGGAATCTTGATCGACACATCAAGGCATTTCTTGCCCTTGAAAAACATCTTTGCTAATTTGGTAAGTTGACAGTTGCTTCAGATCCTCACCACTCCTCTGGGTTTTAGAAATAGCGGCTCTGGACATTATAAATGAAATAAAATAACTAGGTAAATGGTTAATGTTACAATTATAAATGAAATAAAATAACTAAGTAAATGGTTAATGTTACAACAAATCACAGCATGTCAATTACAAAATGTGAGAATGTCCACAGTATTTGACTTGGCACTAAAAAGAGTGTCATGTTGGCAGCAGTTGTGTTTCTGTGGGCTGGGAATTCCAAATTAGAATATCATTCCTAAAGCCTTCCTTCATCTTTAGTGGATGCTCAGAGAACAACCACAGTATGAGAGCTCCAGGGATGCTTGTGCACTCTTAGCTGAGTTCAGTCTCATCTGGCCAGGGCAGTAATTGACAGGGATAAGCACATCTTGATGGGATTTACTTAAAACAAAGTTTTGTATAAATGTATATATCATTGCATATTAGATGTACTTAAGATTTGGTTTGTTACAGAATGTATAGTTTGCATGAAGTGGAATATAATAGTTGGAGAAGCATTGTTGACATTTTTCTTTCTGAAATACAGTATTAAGCACTTGCATTTCAGAACTGTTGAAATAGAGAAAAAAACCTCTTTAAAAACTACTCACTTAAGAATACAAAGCAATTACCGGTAACTAAAATACTGCTTTCTATGTCATAGGATGCCATGGCTATTAATAAGTTCAATGTTCTACATTGGCACATTGTAGATGATCAGTCTTTTCCTTATCAAAGTGTCACTTTTCCTGAACTAAGTGCCCAGGTAAGTTGAAATCTTTTGATATTGTACTACTAAATTTCATTTTTTATTTAAATAATTTAAAAAGTTATTATTAGACGAGGTAAACCAAGATTCTATACTACATGGGCAGAGCACAGATTGCTAGTAGAAGACCCAAATAATAGGTAGAAAATTATCAACAAGTCTTGAATCTCTCTACACTAATCCACAAAGTATAGGAAATAAGATAAGCTATAACTCTTTACAGCAGAGTGCAAATATGATTTAAGAGGCATCACTGAAACCTGTTATTGGAATGTAGAAATGGAGGTGTATAAGTTTTCCAAAGAAATAGACCAAACAGGAAATGAGAAGGAGGAAGAGCATTATATGTCAATAATAATAATAAACATATTTTATATTCCGCCCTCTCTCCCCAAGAGGACTCAGGGCGGATTCACAACAAAAGATGGCAAATATCCAATGCCAGATCCAATTCATAACTAAGAATCATAAAGCAAACAATCATGATCCCAAAAAACAATATACCCAACCAAATTATACCCAAAAAAGTAATAATATCATAACCTATCACTTCACTACATCTAACATAGCTGACATTAAACATAAATTAACAATTCGTTTAAAATAATTACTAAAATATTATGCAGCCAATGACATCAACAAGACCAAGTGTGCACACACTGTGGGGAAGTGTATGACTTCGAGCATGGAAGGCAGATTGAGAGATTTGAGTTAACATTAAAGTGGAGGGAAACAACATTGTGCTCATTGTGGGGGATTATCATAAGCCCTGAGCCAAACTGAAGATTTAAAAGATGCTTTCTTAGAATAAATGACCAAACAGAAAGAAGAAAGTCATAATAGGGGACTTTATTTCTCCGCAACGTGGACACAAGGCGGCTTGCAAACAGAATACAAACATTTTAAACCCTTCAATCAGGAGAACAAAATAGATAACAAAATAGAACAAAATAGCAGATCACAGAACACATACATGGCAAACATTCAATATTGTTTTTACATTGACAGGACAGACAATTGTACACAGATAGAGGTATATGTAGGCTTTTCCCATCTTCAGCATCTTGGAGGCTTGTGCTTCGTTCCGGCCATGGGGGGGGGGGGGGGGGTGCTATCATTCCATCTGTCGTGCCGAAGAGGTTTGTAAACTTCCTCCTTGATCAAATCGCCAGCATTTTTCTTGCATTTCCTTATGGGTGCCTTAATACCTTCTTGTTTTAAGCGATACCTATTTATCTACTCACATTTTGCATTTGAGCTGCTAGGTAGGCGGAAGCTGAGCTAAAGGCTAGGAGCTCACTCCAGCCCCGGGTTCGAACTGTCAACCTTTTATAATGCAGTTAAGCTTCATTATGAAGCTGCATTATATGGCAGCATACATAGGGCCACAGTGTCAGACAGCCAAGGGTCAGTCAGGTCTCTCTACTGTTAAACAAATAATCTCAGGGTCATTTAAGAAAAACAACGCACAAACTGGTGATGCGTTTGGAAGTTCCTGTTGCAGTCCAAGTCTCTTCACTGGTTTACATCTTCTGAATTGGATCCTGACAGTGATTGACAATACTGCTCTCAACGTACAGTTGGCATTGGCACATAGATGTATCTCTATGTTAGTCAAAATTCTTAATAACCAATAAAGCCCATAACATGCTTTGTGTACTGAATTTTTTCAAGGTGTTATTAATACATTTGGACTAATGATCAGTTCTTGTGGATCATAAAATCACTCTCCTATTAAGTTTAATTCAGTGTACACACATACAGAATTTTTCATGATATAATGTGGAACAATTGCTACAAATTGATATTTTCACAGGGGGCCTATTCGAACAACCATATTTACAGCCCCACTGATGTCCGCCTTGTGATAGAATATGCTCGGTTACGAGGAATTAGAGTTATCCCAGAGTTTGATACTCCAGGGCATACAGAGTCTTGGGGAAAAGGTAAGGTATGAATCTGAAAAGTTACTGATATTGAAAACATAGAACCTTAATAGGAAGCATCAAAGAGGAACAAATTTAGTACTTGTGTTAACCTGCAGGTTTATTATGAAATGTAATTTTAAAGTATTTTAATTTATAATTCACAGTTTGCAGTTCATTTCCACATTGCACATAACATAACTGGTTCCATTTTATTTCCATCTCCAGTTTCTGCTGGATTGAATATAATCTTGGTATGAGTTCTGCCTCTATATTGTCCTAATAAATCTGCCTTTTTTCTTTATTCATGATCACAACCTATTTATTTATTTATTTATTTTTATGCTATTTAATGATAAATTTTGTGTTCTGGTTTTATTTATTTACCATATATATCAGAAGAAAACCAAGGGTACAGTTATAATGTGTTCTGGTGAAATTTCTTATTCAAAATTTCTTATTCTAAAATTTTGATTGCTGTTGTTGAACAGTGTGCAGAACTGACATACATAAAATTTGTATGGAGCCACTTCTTGCATTGCTAGCACACAGCATTTTTGCCAATGGCATTCAGTGATTAATAGAGTCATTGAAATGGAAACAAATTTGCAGTAGCCTTGAATACAGAAGGGAACAAAAAGTTCTGAATAGAATGATTAATAGTGTCAAGTAGAGACAAGTCTTCTGTGAGTCACAGTTTTCCAGGTCTGATCTAATTCACCTTCTGTATCCAAAGAACTTGTTTTGCACTGGGGTCATTTTTTAAAAGATCAGAAGACATGCAAGTGTTGTTCTGTAATACGAGAAGGATAACCTTCTGAAGATACTCTTTGTTTGTTCTGTTTAAGGGCATAAAGATGTCCTCACACCGTGCTACAGTGGAGAACATCCCAGTGGTTCTTATGGGCCTGTAAACCCTATTTTGAATACAACTTACGATTTCATGGTGAAATTTTTCAAAGAAGTTGCAACAGTATTTCCTGATGAATATATTCACTTAGGAGGTGATGAAGTGGATTTCTCGTGCTGGTACAGTGTGATATTAAATGTCTAAATAGACACTAAATCTGAAATATGTTTAATTGGAAACTGGCAAAAATGGGTACTTATCTAGGGCAGAATCTGTGCACAGTGTAGCTTTTTCTTTCCAGTTGTAATCCTTTGTACTGAGCTGAAGGTCATTTCTCTGAGCTTGTTGTGGTTTGTTAGAATGGGGATTTACTTTCATAGTGTGTGGGATGGGAATTGAGAGAGAGGCTCAGAAGCTCTGCTTGTGTGAAGGAAGCATGATGTTTTGAGTCTTTGTGGTTTTTCTGATTTATTTAATTTTGGCCCGACAGTCTTAGACAAATCTGTGTTGATTTTTATGACTTCAGCATTCTTGTCAAATTTCTGCTACACTTCTTCTTGAATAGCTGTACTGTAGAAACCATAATATCCCGAGAGAATCAGGAAGTTTCTTCTGATATTTAGGCAAAACCCTGTCATTTTCACTCATTACTTCTAGTTGTGCCCTCTAAAGCAACAGAGAATAGTAATTTTCTACTTTTTGTAAGAGATAGTTAAAAACAGATATCATTTTTAATTTCCTGCTCGTTTAATTTCCTGCTCTTCATATAACTTGATTATTCCAGATTCATTACATCTTGTTATGCTTCTTCTTAATCTTTTATCAAACATTCCAAAATCATCCACATGGGTGGCTGAAATAGGGAAACCTTCGCTTTCTGATGGTTCCATATACACTAACTTTGTTTTGTGCACAAAATTGTTGAAAATATAAAATTACCTTCCATCTATGTGCATAAGGTATATATGAAGCATACATGGATGTCATATGTAGGCATGGATCTCATCTGCAAGATAGAGAATGTGGATACTGTTATTTATTCTTTGTTTTGCATTATGCCTCTGTTCAGTCCTTGTCTTTTATCAGGATCCCTGTTTATAATGGAGGGAGCATGTGAACTCTGCATAAATGCCTGTGCATTTAGGCATGTTGCAGCCCAGCCACCTATGTGACTCCTTTTCACCCAAGATAAAGAGCTAAGTAGCCCAAGTATAGCTCAATTAATGGGAATCAATCAACTAATTAAAAGTTTATCAAAGAAAAGAGTAAACTATAGAGAAAACTAGTTCAAAAATACATCTCAAGGTAAAGAGTACAAAAGTATTTCCAAGGTATACATAAAAGGCAAAAACAAAAGTACATCCAAAGTATAAGCTTCAAAAGTCATTCCAAAATTTAGATTATATTCAGAGCATTCTTTAGGCAGTAATAAACACAGGCCCACACTGACAGTAAAACCAAAATCCACCAAAACTTAGACCAAGAACTGTATCCAAACAAGAGCCGCCAATCCCAAACAATGAAAGCAAGGCCAGAATCTCAATTCACGGAGTGCAAGAAAAAAGGTGATCTTAGTCAGAAAGTACGAAGTTGCTCTCACAGAGAGCAATCTAAGGGGTTAGCTTAATAACCAAATTAGTTCCCATGGAGACACTAATTAACTAACACCTGCAATCCTTGATTTTATCTTTCAAACTTAATTACTTTTGCTTGACACTATCTCGCTGTAACTGAAGACTCTGAGCAATGGGCAACAATCCAGCATCTTACACCTCCCTGACATTTTTCCCAGGGTCAAGAAGAGCCTCTGCAAGCAGAGCCTCTGGCAGCTTTTCATGTGAAACAGCCTCACTAAAAACAGATCTGTCTGTAAAACCATTCCCATCATCCAGGGAAGAACTACTTTCTCCCTGAAGCATTACAGAAGTGGTGGGCTCCAATTGAGAAGCACAAAACCCCACCAAAGCCCCCCCCCTCCTCCTCCTCCTCAAACCAGGCCTCAAGAAGGCAGTCCTTTCCACTACAGCATTCTCAGTGTATCCTACACATATTTCTCTATCGTGTGGTAGACCTTTGAAGGGGACAAGAGACAAGGACCCTCAATACCTTGGTAGGAAATATTACATCATTTCTTTATCTTTATAGGAAATCCAATCCTGATGTGACAGAGTTCATGAAGAAACATGGGTTTTGGTTTAGTTATTCTAAACTGGAATCCTATTACATTGAGAAGTGAGTTTCTCTTTTGAGTAAGTCTGCTTTTGTCTTCTTGCTACCTCCTTCAAATGCGCACAGTACTGTTGTCATCAATACGAATCATACAGTCATAGAGGTGGAGAAGACCCCAAGGGCTATCCAGTTCAGCCATCTTCCAGGCAAGAACATACAATCTAAACTAAACACCCCTGACAGATGCCATCCAGGCTAAGTTTAAAAACCTCCAGAAAAGGATTGCCACCCTTTTCACTGTCAGAAAGGGGACAGTTGACTTGCAATGTTAATACACAAAAACCTCATTTTATTTTTAGCACAAACAAACTGGCAAAACAGTGGTTTAATATGAAATTTGGAATTAACTCTCTATGGACCTGAGGCCGGATTATGCAGCAAGAAAGTTAGATAAGTCAGTTAATATTTTTGTCCCAAGATTTTTTAAAATTTTCGTTAAATGTTTTACCAAAAACTACCTACTGGCTGAGAAAGCAGTGATGCAGAAAGCTTGTTTCTACTGCTCCAGAAACTAGGACAAGGAGCATAAATTCAAACTATAAGAAAACTGATTTCACTGAAACATTAGGGATTATTTCCAGACAATAAGAGCTATTTAATAGTGGGATACACTACCTTGGAGATAAGTATATAAGTATATATTATACACCTATATTATATTATCTAATATAGAGTGTTGGATGCTGTTTGTTTATTTATTTAATGCCATTACTGTCCATGATACAAAAGGGGACTGCACCTGACAGGTGCTTTAGCAGAAAAAGGGCAAGAAAACATAGTTCCTTGCCCTCATGCTTACAGTCTGAAGACACAACCCTGAAAGAGGGGAAAATACTGCCTCTTCTTGTCTCCCTTTGTAGTCAGGGCAGTGGCAATTAGATATGACTGATAACATGAGTCTGTGATAATAGGAACACAAAAAACTGTCTTATATTGAGTCATACCATCTAGCCTCATGATTTCAGCTCTAGAGGGTAACAGTTCTCGACTTCAAAGAGCATTTTCCACAGCCCTACCTAGAAATGCTTGATATTACTTGGTAGTCTTCCACCCAAGTATTCACCAGATTCCCCTCCAGGCATGGACAAATTTCAGCCCTCCAGGTGTTTTGGACTTCAACTCCCACAATTCCTAACAGCCTACTGGCTGCTAGAAATTGTGGGACTTGAAGTCCAAAACACCTGGAAGGCTGAAGTTTGCCCATGCCCGCTGTACCCTGATTAGCTTTCAAAATCAGAGGGGACTGCTCTGTTCAGGTTGATGTGGCTGCCAAAGAGTTCCTTCTCTTAAAATAGAAGTAAAATGCTCATTCAGGTTATCATTGTGTTCAGGAAATGTTTTAACAATAGAAAGGCTGCTTTAAAATCAGCTAGTCCATCTCCCAAATTTTCCCTCTGCAGAAAAGGGCATGGGCTAGGGCCCCTTCCACACAGCTGAATAAAATCCCACATTTTTTGCTTTGAACTGGAATATCTGGCAGTGTGGACTCATATAACCAGTTCAAAGCAAATATTGTGATTTTCTGCCATGATATTCTGGGTTATATGGCTGTGTGGAAGGGCCCTGTGTGAACAGATAACATGGGCAGAAGACAAGATAAGCTCCCTCTACTGTATATCTTTAGTACATTTTTACTATATCTGTAGTACATTTTTACTATGCTTTAAGCTTATTTAGGATCCAATCTTGCTAAAATAATAGATTATAATTGAATTACAGGAATGTATTTTTTTCTGATTACTTTGTCTTAGAATATTGGACATGATGTCTTCTGTAAATAAGAAGTCGATAGTCTGGCAGGAAGTCTTTGATAATGGTGTGCAGGTAAGATTTGCGAAATGTTTTGATTTGCAGCTTAGAAAGTATTTTCTTGTGCAGTTGGCCCTCCCTCTCCTGCAAAAGTGGAAAAAACACAAATAACTCCCAGAGGTGGATATGAGGTGCTGCTGCTGTGGTCCCCAGGGGGAGCTTCCTGCCATGGTCCCATAGGGAGGAAGAGGAGGAACAGACCCTATGCGCTGCCACCACACTATTTCCACAGTGTAGTCTCCTTTTTTATCGTGCCTGATCAAAATATTCACGTGGCATGTAGGACACAGGAAGAGGAAGGACAAGGGCTATGCCTCCACTTATCCTGGCTCCTTTTCCTGTATGCCCCAGTTATCTCATTTCTCTAGTATCCCCCCTGCTTTGCTTAGGTGAAACAGAAGGTGAATTGTGACATGAGGAGTGACAACCTGCCCACCTTAATTCATCTCATAGATACGAAGTTGGCTCTCCACATTCTCAAGTTTCACAAGGTTTTGATTCTTACCAGGCTAGGATAACTCCTTCTCCATCCCACTCACCTTCTGAATGTGATTATTCCCAGGTCAGCCCCATCTCCAAGAGGTGAGCAGGGGATCCTTTCCCTCCTAATTCCACTGATGGAGTAAGTTCCTTTGGTGAAAAAGCAAATAAACATTGGATGGGCTGAAATTGGGCAAGCAAGAGTTGCTCCCTGGGCTGGCAAGTGGATTATTTGAAGCTGCTGCCTCCCTCCCAACTGGGTTGATCATTGGCTGAAGGCCACTGACTTGGCAAAATTGGTTTAGTGGTGGGGCTGAGAAAAATAGCAGAGAAAGCGCCTTGGCTACACACACACACACACACACACACACACACACACACGAAGCAAGAAAAGCTTGAACTTTGATATAGACAACTATTTCTGACCCTCAGTATTTGTTAGCATGATTAGAAGGCCAACACAATTCTAGCAGGGAAAAGAAGCTTTGCAAGAAAAGCTTTACCTATCTGTTTAGGCTGGGTACAGAAGCACATCATACCCCTTGCAGTCTTGTTTCTTCTTTTTGCAGGTGTGTTATTTTATTTCTATGCATTTATGATTACTATTTCTTCAACCTTCCTATCCCTCACTGTGGCTCGTGTTTCATCCCTTGCTTGTATAAAATCATTCTATGGGGCTTAAATCACTCTACTATACTCTTAGGTCATTATTCCTTCTCATCTTATCTACCTTTTTGAAATATTGTGGGTAGTTCACAGAGTGATTTAAGCCCCATAGAAATCCCCAAAAAACTCAGCAGAGTTGACCTTGATCTACCACTATCACTGTGCATGTGAATAGTGGAGAATCTGATATTGTTGTCTTTCCCTACACAATTCAGATTACTTGACTTCTGGAATGGGGAAAACTTAACATTGTGCAAAGAAGGACAGCAAGAAGTACACAAAAACACTTGTAATAACTTTATGTCACTTGTTTGCTTCCAGTCTGTACAAAGCTGCAAGCACAATATCGGGGTGGATTGCCTGCATTCTTTTGTTGGTTATTCATTCAATCGCTTCCAACTCTTCGTGACCTCATGGACCAGCCCATGCCAGAGCTCCTTGTTGGCTGTGGCCACCTCCAGCTCCTTCAAGGTCAAGCCAGTCACTTCAAGGATACCATCCATCTTGCCTGTGATTGGCCCCTCTTCCTTTTTTATTCAATTTTTCCCAGCATCATTATCTTCTTCAAGCTTTCCTGTCTTCTCATTATGTGGCCAAAATACTTCATCTTTGCCTCTAATATTTTTCCCTCCAGTGAGCCGTCAGGCATTATTTCCTGGAGTATGGACTGGTTTGATCTTCTTGTGGTCCAAGGCACTCTCAGAATTTCCTCCCAACACCACAGTTCAAAAGTGTCAGTCTTCCTTTGCTTAGCCTTCCTTATGATCCATAGGTTACTAAGGGGAATACTATTGCTTTACCTTGCATTGTAACAATTCATATATTTTGATTTTTCAGCTACAGCCAGATACCATAGTTGAAGTGTGGATGTCAAGAAATTTTCAAGAAGAACTGAGAAAAGTAACAAAAGAAGGGCACCCTGCAATTCTAGCAGCACCTTGGTATCTGGACATCATTAGTTATGGCCAGGACTGGAAGAAATACTATAACGTAGAACCACTGAATTTCCTGGGTTTGTAGGAGTCTTGCGATTGCCTATTTGTGTGTGTTTAATCCAATCAAAACTAGCCATATTTAAAAGTCCCATTGGTTGCAGTGAAAGCATTTTGTGTATAATACTTGTTTAGCTGTCACATTTAAATTAACATCATGAATCTATACTTTTAGTCACAGCCTTTTTCACCCACATTAACTCTCCACTTCAAGATCCCATTGTATTCTACCTTAACCATGTAGGACAAACCGCTTTTGTGGAACAACTGATTATAGATGTTTTTTCTTATTCATTTTTCTTCCTGAACAAAGAGAATTGTATTTGTGATTCTAAGGTAATGTAAAATCAAAGCAGTCAGTCCTGTTTTTTTATGAGCGGGGCGAGGTTGTACTACCGATTTGGAGTAATGACTCACCCCAGCAAACATTTTTCTATCTAAAGAGTGGCACAATAATAGAACCCACTTTGACTATTTCCATGCTTGCCAGTCCTGAGAGTGTTTCATCAGTGACACATAATGGGAAAAAAGCACCAGACAACATGTTTTTAGAATATGAATTGAGATTGTTCTCTCTCCCCACCCCAACCTTATTTAATACAGGATGCAAAAGTCAGAAAGACCTGGTGATTGGTGGTGAAGCCTGTCTTTGGGGAGAATATGTGGATGCAACTAACTTCATGTCCAGACTCTGGTATAGTTCATCATTATCTTTTTCCAAGGACAGATACAATGGTCCTGAAGAACCTTAACTCTAAAAAAACTGATTTTAAACATATTGCTTCCCAAAGAATTCTTTTCTTCTTTCTTTATTCTCTTTTAAAGTCCCTCAAAGAGGTGTTTTTGTCACTAGGAGCTGAAGTCATCATCTCATTAGCAAGGTGAACCTACGCCACTTAGATGTGTATTAGTTTTAACTATTGTAGAGTGACTGAAGCAATGGAATTCAGTATTGATTTAGCATCGCATAATAGGTTCACATGCAGACCTATGCTAGGTTGAGCCATCTGATGCCCCTAACTTACTGCATGGCTTCCTGAACCCCCCCAGCACAGTCATTTCCTTCTTTGTGGAGAGCAGGCAAGATTGAAGAAATGTCTCACTGTGTTCCTATAGCCAGACATAAAAGAATTAAAGCAGCACCAAGACCCTGGAAGACTCTAGCAGATGTCATTATTTTACATCTGGCCTATGTTGTCTTTCCTGCTTGCCATGAAGCATCAAATGGTCAGAGGTTTTCAGTATGTCCCAGAGTAGCTTTGGTTGAGCAGAATGAGGAAAAGAATACTAACTGATTTCTTCCACAGCTCCCAGAAAATGACATTTAAAATTAAATTTTTTTTTATATGCTTAGATGCACCAGTTCTGTTATATTTGGAACTAAAAAGGTGAATTTGACTGTAGCCCAGATAGGGAAAGTCCTGTTTGCAGACCACACATGGCCTCTTTTGCAGTCTGTTTTGTTCAAAGAAAAGTAAGCTTCGATTCAATATGCTTCATGTAAGGCCACAGCTTAATAAGCCTCCATTGTAGATAATTGGAGATGGGCAATGGCACATGGATAAGGATTGTTTGGGCTGATTTTAGAGCAGTTTTTCTTTTCTTTATAGTGGAAAGCTTTGGGCGTTTTGCAATGTTAGAGGAAGAAAAAGACTGCACTTTAGGACCATTTGGGGACAAAGGGGTCCTTAAAATTCAGCTCCAAATTTTTTTAAAAAGGTGCAGACAATGATTCAGCTATACTTCATAAAAAGGAAACCAGTCTGTTTACCAAGCCTGATTTGTTACCAGTAAATGTCTCATTTTTATATCCATTTTATATACTTTTTTATCCAGGGCCACATAAAGATTTCTCAGACTGAAAGGGGTTGCAAGTGGATTTTTTAAAAAGCTATGTTAGGGTCCAGAAAGCTACACTTTGCCTACTGTTGTTTTAAACCAAATTTTGACAAATTTTAAATAAAGTATTTCATCTCTTGTAATTCCAGGCCTCGGGCATCTGCTATTGGGGAGAGACTGTGGAGCAGTAAAAATGTAACAGACACCGAAGATGCTTATAGCAGACTTAATGAACATCGTTGTCGCATGCTTAGGTGAGAAGCTGAGCAAGGCTGGCAGAATCCTGTACCAACGTACTTAAAATAAGTGCCATTCAATTTAGCAGATTTTTCTTTGAAGTAGACCTATAAAGGCTTATACTACGTACTTCTCAGTCTAATTATACCATCCATATTCCCTATCATTTTCTGGTGCATATGCGCATATGTATAGATCAGTATTTTCTATCTCCTATTTAGTAATCAGGTTTTATATCCATCCAAGTCATAACTTGTTGGAACCTAAATATCAGCAAAGAAAACCTAACAATACATGCACATCCTTATTGAGATTACTGTGACAAACAGTACTATATTCCTAAGGGCCTTTCTGTGGATGACAATGAGGGAAAAGGCCTTTTTCAGCAATGAAGTCGGAGCCCCCAGTGGTGCAGTGGGTTAAATCCTTGTGCCGGCAGGACTGAAAACCGACAGGTCAGAGGTTCGGATCTGGGGAGAGTGGGTTGAGCTCCCTCTGTCAGCTCCAGCTTCCCATGCGGGGACATGAGAGAAGCATTCTTATTTATTTAATTTACAACATTTCTACACCCCGCCCTTCTCAACCCCCAAGGGGGGAGTCAGAGCAGCTACCACAGGCAGCAATTCGATGCCACGATATCACAATATACAATGATATAAAACCATAAATACACAATAGATTAAATAAATAACAATAACTAAACAGTCATAGCAGCGATTTCCATTATCATAACAATCATAAGCATCCCACAAGGATGGTAAAACATCCGGGCATCCCCTGGGCAATATCCCTGCAGACGGCCAATTCTCTCAAGCCAGAAGCGGTTTGCAGGTTTCTCAAGTCACTCCTGACAACAACAAAAAAGCAATGAAGTTTGATTGTAGGATAGGATGCTTCCCACAAAGAACCCTCTAATCCTTAAGTGTAATCTTCTCAGAACCAGATAAGAAACTCAATAACGCTCCCTTAGAGTTTTAGTGTTAAATGTTTGCACTAATGTTTTCTATTACTGAATTTATGCTAATGTTGGTTCCATCTAATCATGTGAGATATTGTATCTTATTTATTTTTGTTTTATGGTTTTAATGGCAGAGATTATTTTGCTGATAGATGGTACAAAGAGAAACACAAACCACCAATATCTCTTAACTGCCCTTGCTAAAAATGTTCACTTCCAGTCACGCAGTGCAGTTTGGACAACTATGGTTTAAGAGAGTGCTGAGTCATGTGTCAGATAAAATCTCAATTTAAAAAAGGCTTTATTTAGTATTGCAACATAGTTGCAAGAGATGACTTACCAAGCCATTTCCATTGTTACTTGAAATCAGATACCTAGAAGCAAAGTCTTACTTTATGAAACAGTTTAGGAAAACTTGTTGGCATGATATTAAATGTTTAGGATGGATTAATTCACACCTTTTTCTTCCCCGCAGGCGTGGAATAGCAGCACAGCCTTTGTTTGTTGGATACTGCAGCCATGAAGGAAGAGACTCATAACAGGCCCCAGATATAAAGATACCCATTGTGCCTTTCTGAGAAGGAAACCTGCCACTTCGTAAACAATTGCACTGAAACAATGTCATTTTGAAATTCTAGCATTCTACATGTAGGCAACATTCTTTCCTTTTAAATGTTTCAAAATAAATGTTATTGGATTTTTTTAAAGATAAATTAAAATCAATAGTTTATAAAAACATATGGGACACAGAATGCCAGTGAGCCAGGGAAACCATTTTACTTTCAATAAACATTGAAAAGCATTTATTTTGTGCCTCGAATATGGGAAATTGTAAACATACCACTGCTCTTCTGATCTGGACAAACTAATAGGAAAGCCACAAACCAATTCCAGGGTAGATCTACATTAAGGAAAAGACTAGATGGCTTAAGATGTGTTTTTTGGTTTTATTCTGATAATGAAATAATCTGTCCTCATCACAACATTAAGAATTGGTGCATTTTTTAAAGATGGAAATAATTATGCATCTCAAAACACATTCATTGAACATGGCAGTAGATTTGCATTTTTGACCACATGCAAAATTATCTCACAGTGTCTTCTTCCCATGATAAAAGCAATCCTTTGTTCATCCAGAGTGTTATACCAGGCCACTCCTCTTATGAAGCAGAGCCATCTGCTCAGGGAGGCTCATTGCTTGATAACTTGCCAGTTCCAAAGTAAATGTAGCAGTGCCTGAGGTTAAGGACCGCAAATGTGTTGAATACCCCTAGGATGGAAACAAAATATAAAGTTAGCAGTACATCACAAGAATCACTTTTAAATGACTTAGGAGGGGTCCTAATGCATCTATCGCACAAGTGATCTGTCTGTGTGATGGCTTACTTTTTAGAATACTTCCAATGATTTAGCAGGATAGTAGTATAGAGAAAGAGCTTCATATATATCAGGCATGGGCAAACTTCGGCCCTCCAGGTGTTTTGGACTTCAGCTCCCACAATTCCTAACAGCCTACCGGTTGTTAGGAGCCATGAGAGTTGGAAGTCCAAAACACTTGGAAGGCCAAAATTTGCTCAAGCCTGATATAGAAGCACCTGTGAAGAGACTTAACAAATAGGTGTTCCTTGGCTTACTTTCAGGCTCACTGCTACAGTTCAAAGTACAACAGAAGAATCAGCAGGAGAAAGGAATACGCTGGCTGGATAAGGTGATGGCAGGGTACAGGAGACTAGCTACACAACATACCGTTTTGCACTTTCGGGTGAGGGTTAAGATTTTTACTTCTGAGCTGCTACAAGAGCAAAAGATCCTTATCTAAGAAGGCTGCCATTCCAGTCTTCCTGTCTATGAAGCATAGCTAAGATGGGAGCTCCTTATAAAGGCGACCCGTATATGGCACCAACAATATATAACTACAGGGGGGCAAACAAATCCCACCAACTGTCCCTCTAAAATAAAGAATTCACTGGCACCAATATAAATGTTATGAGGGGATGATTCTCTGATTAACGTCCGCTGCCACCAACACTGAAAGGTACAGGAACACCCTAGCTGTTTAAAATCTTAAAAGGGTTTTTAGGACCACCAAACACTGCTTCATTATTTGCTTCTTCAAAGGAAAACAGTTGAGATTGTTTGAGAAAGGGACTATATCCACGAATGGCACACTTGACTCAGGCTTTTTGAGTTTTAAAATAAACAAGGAAAGTTTATTGATAAAAAAAAATACAGAAAGTAAGTGCTGTTTAAACTCTTGGTGGTTACAGAGAAATTCTGGTTTGTCTTGCAAGCGTAATGGTTACATGTAAATGGTTCTTTCTTTGTTACAGATACAGAGATTTTCTTCTCTTTATAAACCAGTACCCTTGACAGGAACTGAATCTCTGTCAAGATACAACTGTAGCTTAGCTACTCTAAACTGTGGCCTAGCTAACTACAAAACCAGCTATCTCTCCCTGATAGCTATTCTAGTTTGCTACAGCTTCCCTTGCTGGCAAACCTAAGGCAAACTGCCTTCTTAACTAATCTCAAACACACGAACTCCTAAACTACCTTCCTACTCTAATTGCTAACAACAACACTGACTGAAAAAGCCCTCTTCTTTCCCTCCAAACCTTGCTAAACTCCGCCCCCTTTTCTGAACCAATCCTGGCTGTTCTAATGCTAACTCAGGCCTAGGACACTCCCCCTCTCTAAAATGGTGTTTGCCCTGAACTAAAATGGCTCCTGCTGTTTTCTGCCAGGCCCACTAAAGCTGCAACTAACTGACCTGATTCTCCTAGGCCCTGCCATCCAGGCTGGCAAGGTAAGGGATCTTTACACTCCTCATCCTAGAACTGAGGCTTCTGGGCCAGTGCTTCCCAACCTGTGGTCTGTGGACCACCAGTGGTCTGCGAGAACTAAAATATGGTTCTTGTGGGTTTTTTCGGGCTATAGAGCCATGTTCTAGAGGCATTTCTCCTGACGTTTCGCCTGCATCTATGGCAAGCATCCTCAGAGGTTGAGAAGGTCTGTTGGAAGTAGGAAAAATGGGCTTATATATCTGTGGAATGGCTGGGGTGGGGCATTCGGGGTGGGGTGGGGCTGGGGTGAGGCTGCGGACTAAAATATGGTCCGCAGCCTCACCGTTACTACACCACTACAATGAGAGAGACTGGTCTTGTGAAACTCTCTTATAGTACCGAGGCAACAGGGATTTCGGGAGGAGAGAGGCCGACTATCCACAAGAGATTACTACTAGCACATCAGCTCTAGATTATTAAATATAGTTTTCTGTGGGTGGGCAGATGGCAACTACTGGATGGCATATGTTCTGTATAAGAAACTAGAGCTGATGTGGTCTATCCAATGCAATTTTCTGAATCAGCACCCCAAATAACCAAACTGAATCTAAAGTTGACCAAAAACTGATTTGTAACCCTTTTAGTACTAATGTTGGAGAGTGGTACCTGGTCAAAAAAAGGTTGGGAACCACTGTTCTAGGCAGAGTCAATATAGCAAGCCAATGATCTAAAAAACCTTCATCTACCATGTTTTATAATGAATGTTTGATGCTGAATTCAATTTCTGCAATGAAGCTAGGGAGTCCTACTTCCTCATAGGCAACATGCTCAAAAATAATTGTTTCATCAACTTCCCACATTTTCTAATCTTGGAAGCCACATTTGTAGTGTTGTCTTTGTACACATGAGCTGCACAAAAAACCCCAAAGGGCAAATAAGACAAAGATGCAGCTTGCTTTAGCAACATAAACACCTACCATCATTTCTGCCAGTGGAACGGATGCAATCACAACTTTGTTATCTTGGCGACTCTGAATCTCCTGAATGCTTCCCCTTCTCTGTGCAAGGTCACCAAGGACTGCACCAAGGTGGTCTTCCCCCACGGTGACTTCCATGTTCATGAGAGGCTCCAGCACTTGTTTATCAGCTTTCTTTAAAGCCTAATGGGCCAAATTTCAAAAAGCACCAGATTTAACAGTAATAAAGATGAATAAGTAGACAAACAGAAACAAAATAGCCTGTAAATTACAACCTTGCTTTTGGGAGCCTTTAAAAAGAAACATTACTTTCCAAAGCAAGTAAAACAACTTCTACAATGTCTACAATACACAATGAGTTCTAGGTATCTGCTGAGATTTGATTCAAATTGGCCTTGAAAAGATTGGAAGACTATTTCATTCTTAATACCTTTTGCATACAGCGAGAAACACAAGCCGAAACCATTGTCGGTGATACATCTACATTTGCTGTGACCGCATGTACCGTCACTACTACATCTTGAACTGGGAACCCCAGAAGTGGTCCTACAGTGCAAAACACAAGTTACACATTAGAATGTCAATACAGAATAAACATTTCAATAAAAGGTGTGACTTTAGGGCTTTCAAGCACAGCCAAATCATTTCATTCTGAGTGAAACTCATTAAGGCAGGTGCACACAAATGAACAAAACAAAAATCCCTTTCATAAGCCGAAGACTATTGCAGAAGAAAACCTATCAAAAATCAAATATTACATATTCTGGCCTTCAGAAAGCAAAATTTGAAACAATACTCAAAAAGTTCCAGTGACAAAGCACAACAGATGGAGGGTGAGAGAAAAGAGCTTCAGAAGTTTGATTTAGAAGAACAATACATAAACCATAATGCCCAGATTTTTTGAGAGAAGGAATCCAGATTATCCCCCCCCTCCCCCCAAATACCATGAGGAAGACAAGAGGGGATTCAGAGCACTTTAAACCGATCAGTTGACAAGATCTGCTTAGAATTATTCAGTTTCCTGCTTATGGCCAAAGCAAAGCCTTTGTATTCAGCTCCATCCTCTCCTGTTATTTCATGAATGCTTTCATTCCACTTTTTCTCTCAATCATTGGTTTTCTTTCATTGTTTAAAGAATTCCTTATTTTCCTACATTTCTTCCTGTTTCTCCATCAGAATAGTTCTGCTCTCAATTCTGTACATAAGTTTCCAGTCTGTTTTGTGGCAACAGTGGAAAACAGGATGAAATGCTGTCCATGGGATTGTACTTTGTTATTGTGTGACTTCAAGGCATTTTAGACTTACATGACCATAAACCTATCATGTGTTTTCTTTTCTGGCAGGATTTGTTCAGGGGGGTTGCTATTCCCTCCTTCTGAGCCTGAAATCATGCCTTACCCAATGTGGGCCTCCCTTGTTTAACCTTATTTCTCCAGAGCCTTAGTTGAACAAATCTAATCCTTACATCATGGCTGATATCTAATTTTATACATATAAAATGCCTTTGATTTCCTTCCTACTGTTAAGAATGCACAAGAAATCTTTTCACAAACCCCTTTTTAAAAAAGCAATTTTAAAAAGCAATTTAATACATTCAAAATGTAAGTTGGAGTGGCACTCGAAGACAAGAATTACCTTGAAGACAAGAATTACTAATTCCAGTTTCTATAGCTTCACGAAGCTCTGGCGGAAGTGAATCACAGATGCTTTCAGAATATTCAATCACTGGTGTTGTTGCTGGCACTTCCCCCTCCCATGGTCTGACTCCCAGTTCTATGGTCACTTGGTGTCGTTTTTCTCCTATGGTCCTGTCCAGTGTATCTGGGATAAAATGAAACACCAAACATCATGCTAAATGTCCTGCTGAAGAAAGCTCTCTTTTAAAGTGTCGTTACTAGTTTCAACACAATCTGTTGCAAGATCACACTTGTTACTTTACCTACAGCCCCAGTCGACTTTTGGATCGTTTCTCTGTAAGCTATCTGAAGAGGCCCAAGATAGGTCTCAAGTCCATATTCACGTTTGATTCGATCATGAATAATCTCAATGTGCAATTCGCCCATTCCACAAAGAATAGTCTGCCAAATATATAAAAAGTGCCATAAGCAATTACATTAAAAGCACAGTGTACAACATTACTATTTCCCTATGTTTCCTATTTATTTAATGTTCCCAAGCACAACAGTGACTGGAAGTAGGGAAACTGTATTATCTGGATTTAAAATTGAGTAAATATCAGAGATTTTCATTACGTCAAAAAGAATATTAGAAGTATTAACTTTCATTCAGATAGACAGGATAATTTAGAATACCAGGGTTGCATTCAGTCGGTGAACTCACAAAGAACTAAGTTTAGAAGATGGGCAGATTATGGCACTGTCACCTGAAGAGTTGTAAACAAAGGCTCCAAGTTTTGGCCACCTTCCACATGCTTGTTTACAAACAAAAAAAATGGGGAAAATCCCCCTACTGAATTCTTGTTCATTATTTGATTGACTGATTGATTGCAAACAATAGAGAGCAGCTATTCAAACCAAACCATATGTCAACATATGTTTTCTTCTCTGAATATTTCAGGGTTGTTTCAATAGCAATAGTTGGGGTTCATAATAGAATGTGTGGTTGTGACAGGAGTGGGCAACTACGGAAGAGTAGAGGGAAACATTTACTCTCCAGAAGATGTTGACAAATGTTTATTTTGATCCCTAGGAATCTGGGGGAGGAGGACCACTCCAAATATGTTGGAAATTCCTATCACTCCTCTTAGAAATAATTTTGGGGCACAAGAATGGCCCTTTGGGACTTCATATGCTCACCTCTGTACTAAAGTAGTATTTGCTTCTAAGATCATGTTCTAAATCAAAACTGATTTAGTAACCGTACTTTCCCCTGCAAAACCAGAAAGCTCTACAGTTTCTTAAGCCAATTCAAATCACAAATATAGAATGAATGAGAGTTCAATAGTTGTTGCAATTACTGTCATTGAAAGCATGATGACTGGAACATAAACCAATAAAAGCTCCCTAAAGAACACAGTAGACTTTACCTGTCCAGTGTCAGCATCTATCCTGACTTTTAGACTTGGATCCTCCCGCTGCAGAGAAGATAAGGCGTTATCCAGATCTATGATAAAATATTGACTGTATTAAATATAAAGAACACAATAGGCTGTTGTGGAGACTCTACAGTAGACACAACTATCTAAAAATAAAAAGAGAGAAAGAAAAAAGTGGCCTCCCAAAGTTATCAATACACTGTTCTTCTTGCCCCCCAAAAGGTTAAATACTTGGGAAAAGGTATACTACCAAATCTTTGACATTACAGCTAAAACTGCTTTGCTAGTCTGCTATTTAATTCTGACTTCCAGCAAAGACACAAATCATGAAAATCAAGCAGTTTAAAATTTAAAGACAAAATTAGGATCAAGAGCCGAAGAAAAACTACGAGATTTTCTCCCTGCACCTTTTAAATACTATAGCTGACATGGTATACTGCAGTTATATATATTGAACCTAGAGCTACAAATCCATACCAGCTTTGTATTCAGTTATACTACCTACTCATGATCATAGCACTATTCCCATAATCATAAACCACCCCGAGTTCCTTTGGGGAGATCGAGGTGGGGTATAAGAATAAAATATTATTATTATTATTATTATTATTATTATTATTATTATTATTATTATTATTGCCTCCACATGTTGAAACTGGTTTTCAGTCCCCCAGTGGGAGTTCTCACCAGTCTTATTTTTACTATAACTAAGATAAAACTCTATTTCTTCAGGAGAGTAAATTGGGTAAAAACACAAGACCCACTATTTTAGTAACTGTTTTGCACCTGCTTGCCTGGCCATGGAAGGTGGCTCTATGGTGCAGAAGAAGACTGGCTCTGGAACCTCGATGCCGGCCAAGAGAAGGTTCTGCGCTTCTCCATCTTGACCGTGTGGTGACCTCACATTCCTTCCCGCCTGGCGAGCTGCAGCCACTGCAGAAGCTTTTGATGAAACAATGGTGTCCCCAGTGGCACTCTATCATATGGCAAACAACAAGTGACACAAAGCATTGTTACATATAATTGGTTTGCTTTCATTCCTTTATAATGATGAAAAGTAATTACTGAAAGTTGTCTTTTTCTCAGTTCAAAGGGAAAACCACTAGGGATGACAGTAATTACAGCAAAGTTCTTTGTTTGCAGCCAAGCTCTAATAGTTTTTCTTTGCCAGTATTAAAAAATAAAAGTGAAACAAAACCCCTTTGATGATTTGTATTTACTGCAAAACTAAATCTCATATGGTACATTCACTATAAGTACAGAGGAATTTTCTGACAGATCAAAATTTAAAAATGCCATTAAGGCAATAAAGTTACTTGTTGTACTTTACTGCTATCAAGTCAACTGGCTTATGACAACTTTATGAAATACTTCCAATTCACCATATCATTAATAGCCCTGCTCAGGTCTCACAGACTTAGAGCCATGGCTTTCTTGATTGAGTCTATTCATCCTAAACAGATCTTCCTCATTCCTGCTGCCTTCTACCTTACCAATTGTCACTGTCTTTTCTAGAGACTCATGTCTTCTCATGATACGGCCAAGTATGAAAGTGTTTAGTCATCCTGGCTTCTCAGGAGAGTTCAGGCTTGATTTGTTCTACGACCTATCTATTCATTGTTGTTTTTTAGCAGTCCACAGTATCTGTGGAACTCCCTTCCATCACCACATTTCAAATGAGTAGATTTCCTTCCTATCAGCATTTTCACTGCCTAGTTTTCACAACCATAATGGATAAGGAAACAAATATGGCATAGACAATGTAACTTTAGCATTCAGTTATATATCTTTACACTTCAGAATCTTGTTTTGTTCCTTCATATCTGCCTTTCACGTCCCATTTCTTGACTCCAATCTCCATTCTGATTAATTACTAATCCAAAGTATGGACAAGCTTAAACTATTTCAGTTTCACCACTGTGTAGTATTATTGGTGATGATAAAATTACTAAATGCTGCCAATTTCCCACAAGAAGGAATGGGGACTCAACCAGCAACATGTGAAATACCTGAAATACAAAAAAATACCTCTTTGTGGGAAATTGGCAGCATTTAGTAATATTGATGCAATTCTAAATAAATTAATTTCTTTTATTTACCTGTTTCAGCCCAACAGTCAGGACAATGTTGCCAGCTGTTGCTGAAGAGATTTCTATTTGCTGATCAGCGAATGGCAGAAGCAAGCGGCTCATTCTCTCTCTGTAAGAGATAGCTTAGCGATTAATTCCATAAAGGAATCTAAAGTCTAAATTCAGTAATGTCTTCTCATGTACAATTTATTTATTTTTTCACTCACATGCAATTTTTGTTGATATTATAGACAGCCGACTGAGGCTTCATTTTTCCAGAGTAAATCCGCAAAAAGACAAGTGGACCACGCTGCTTGTCATGAAGTACTTTGAATGCCAGAGCACACAAATCATCTTTATACCATTCCCTGGGGAAGAAAACAAACTGACTCTGCATTAGAAAAGCATGGCGTATTTAGCATGGCATTCAATAGTCAAAACAATTGTATTACAAATAATATAAATGCTTACGATGCTGTTCACTGGTAATGAATATATACTATCAATTCTTTAGGCTCAATAAATTCAAGCAATTTAGTAGAAAAAAATGGGGACACAATCCCTTTCACCGTGGCGAGAATTGAACTGGAATCATCACCAGAGGGCTAGTTCTTATTTATAGTGCATGTTTACCCCTGCTTTTATCTGTCTTGGTATTTCAGCCTATTTCTATTCTAAATTGTTAACCAATTGTTTCTGTTATTGCTTTTTTAATTTGAAAAAATGTAATGTTGAAGATTGGGCAAGCATGTTTTCTGCTAGTCTGGAGACTAGGACAGAGAGCAATGGATTCAAAGTTCAAGAAAAGAGAGTCCACCTAACTTTTAGGAAGAACTTTCTGATGGTAAGATTATAAACAGAAGAATATGATGCACTGGAGTGTGATAGTCTCTTTCTCTGAAGATTTTTAAACAGAAGTTAGAGGGCCATCCAACAGAAGTACCCTGACTGTGTATTCCTGCATGACGGGATTGGACACAATGGCCCTTCTGGTCTCTTTCAACTCTATGATTCTAATTTCCACTGAAATAAATAAAGTATTCTCTTACTCACAGAAAATCATAGCTGCATTCATCTGGAGCAGGCAGATATCTGGTGATTGCATCCAATAATGGCTGAACACCTTTATTTTTTAATGCACTTCCACAGAGAACAGGAACTGCTTTCTGAGCCAAGGTTACTCTTCGTATAGCAGAATGAAGCTGCAAAAGTCAAATTTCAACTGTGCAAGTAGACCAACCAGCTTGATGTAAGGGTTTATACAGATAAAACATTAACCTTAAGTTGTGATTTAAATGCATTCACTTCTGGTCATATTGTGAGTCAATTTCTTTTAAAAGACACATTTTAAAAATCACATATACAGAGATATACGTGCCATTCCCTAATCAGCAGAGAATTAAGAATCATGCTTCTACCTTGTATCCAGTACTTGATGTACATAAAATACTCTCAATGCTTATCATGAGGTAAGTTGTATTCTCAATCTATCATCTATATAAATAAAAATGTACTGTTCGTTTGTGGGATTAACAGAACACAAAAACCACTGGACGAATTGACACCCAATTTGGACACAAGACACCTAATAACCCAAGGTATGTCCTTCACTCAAAATTTGATTTTGTCATTTGGCAGTTGTAGTTTCTGGGATTTGTCATTCATGTACAATCAAAGAACATTCTGAACCCCACCAACGATGGAATTGAACCAAACTTGGCACACAGTTCTGCCATGACCAACAGAAAATACTGGAAGGATTTGGTGGGCAGTGTCCTTTGGTTTTGGAGTTGTAGTTGAGCTACATCCAGAAAGCACTGTGGACTCAAACAATGATGGATCTGGACCACACTCTACACGAATACTCAATATGCCCAAATGTGAACACTGGTGGAGTTTGCGGAAAATAGAATCTTGACATTTGGGAGTTGTAGTTGCTGGGATTTGTAGTTCACCTACAATCACAGAGCATTCTGAACCCCACCAACAATAGAATTGGGCCAAACCTCCCACACAGAACTAAGTCCACAATTCAACTTGGCATACTACTTTATCATTTATATTCACCATGTATATTTTTTTCAGCACAAATACAGTGCAAAAGTCATTTCAGGTACAAGTAGAACAAAATGTTTTATATCATTCAATTCGTATAATATATAACCAAAACACATACCTTATCAGCAGGTAATGAATCAAAACTCTCACTGAAATCCCCAAGGACCAATTCCGCAAATTCATCATCCAGGTCTGCAACCTTGTAAGAGAACATATGTCTGTTGTTACATATTCTGAATAACTATACTGAGATTGCCAATTACCAATTAAAAGAGAAATTAGCCATTAAAAGATAATTACTAGAACGCGTTATTTATAATTCTAAATCATCAGCAAAGTGAAAAATATAATTCCTTTAATTACTATCTGAAAGAAAATTAACTTTTGGCTTATATGTCTTAGACTTATGGGAATCAGAGATAATGACAATTAAGACAAAATAACACATATAGACTACAGCTGAAAAACAACTACAGTTCAACTATTGTGCCACAAACAATAGTTTAAAAAAAAGCACGAGGCAGAATAGAACTAGGCATACTAACCTACTCCAGCTTGGTATCTTCCTAATTTGATATTCTGAGTTTCTTGATGGTAGAACAGAAGAGAACAGAAGAGAAAGGATCACAGGTAGGGGGTTTCTTAAGCCCTTACCTTAAACCTGGGTCTTCTCTTAAGAGATAAGGCAAAGGATCACAGAATACAAGGTTTCTTAAGCCCTTACCTTAAACCTGGATCTCCTCTTAATACAAAAGGAAGGAGATTTTTTTTAGCCCTTGCCTTAAATCTTGGAAGCCCTCCCCCCATTGATGCCAATGGGTCAGATTGAAAATAAATATTTTGTCTTCTCAGGTCGATAACAGATTTCTGCTCTCCTGAATTCGGATCTCCCCCCCCCCACCCGCCCCACTGAAATCTGGGGCACCAAAATGGATCAAGGTTTACCCAGATTGCACAAGCATAATATGTATGTATGCAGTAGATAGCCTCCCTCCCTCTCCCTCAGTAGCCTCTAAGGACACTCTTCAGCATGGTCAGCTGTGGCACATCCATTTACTAAAGGAGACTCTGTCAAATTTCCAGGAATCCCATCTTCCCCATAGGCCCCTGTGCCAGAGCCCATCCCATTCCAGATGGTCTTATGTACATTGAAATAACCCTTTTCAGGAGCGTAAGAGAGTAACAAGGGGCTGCAAAGACACCTTCCACCCATCCCTCATATTGCTGGGTTTTGGATTTAAACATTAAATGTTTTCATATATTTACTTCAGGACTTTACTTGTTCTATTAAGGCATTTCTTGCTTCAGTGGCATTCCTTAACAGCCCAGGGTCATTAATTTCTTTCAAGGATTTCAGCTCAAAGATCTTCCCATCATCCAAGTCTGCTGTAGATTTCCAAATGATCTGGTGTTGGCTAACCACATCAACTATTCCCCGAAAGGTCTTTGCTTCTCCAACTGGCAACTGTATATGAATTGAAAAAATAGATAAAACAGAGTACTTTCAAGAAAACATCAAACTTTAAAATGCATCGTTAATCAAAGCAATTACTAAAACAAGTGTCTTAACATTTGTAATGTTGACAGGTTTGTGAATATATGTGAATAAATATAAGCAAATTACCTGTACAAGCAGAGGCTTAGCCTTCAGTTTTTGCTCGATACTCTCAACTGCAAGGGTAAACCTTAAGAAAAAAATATTACTCATTCAGTGTGAAAAATATTTGTTTATCTTCAAGCATCTTATCTAAACTTTCCCCCCTCCAAGTTTCAGATAGACAGGACACTAGCAATTAGAAAGAACATCATGCCCAAACACCTGCACATGTATGTTTTATAATAATGATATTTTCCCCAATATAATGTTATCTTTTTTGTGATTGCTGACTACAATTATTTATTTATTTCCTAGAAAAGCACTGCGGACCTCACGGTCCACAGACAACCACTTTGAATAGCAGTCTTACATGACCGAAATATACTATGTGTCATGCAGGTAACCCCTGATAATAAACAAACAGAGGGGACTTCTACTAGTATGGAAATCTGATTTTCAAGCACCAAAGGTTGTCTGATATACAATAACTAAAAGTACTGTGATGCTAAGATATATACATCATGTATTCAACAAGCATTTTAAAGCTTATGTCCAACTCAACTACAAGTCCCAACTAGGGAGACACAAAGAACCAACAGCATTTACCTATGTGTTAAATTTACCACTCAGCAATTGATTCAGTGTATCCATTCTGTGGACTAACAATTGCATTTAGGCCTATATAATGTAACAAAATATTTGAAAACAACCTTAGAAATATCCACAGAAATTGCAAGCTCAGAACATTCCTTTATCTAGTTTGCTTGTTTATATCTACACACTTTAGTCATTTCTAGCACCTAAGGATGAATCAAACAGTCTTTGATCACCTGGAGGAAATTTTGTTTTTACACCAAACAAGTAGAAAAGTGGGCGTTTGCAAGCTTCGTTTCATTTATGAAATATTACTATTCATATCTCATTAAATTATAACCCTCTTAGGTAATTCCAAATAATCTTCCAGAGTCCCATAACAAAGCAGCCTTTCTTTGATGTAGTGCTGAAGTTCGACCACCTTAGTACCTTGCTCCATTTTTGTCCATCTTGTTCAAAAAACATATCCGTGGTACATGGTGTTTGTCTGCCTGTCTCCATACTGTCAACGATTGTGCCTACACAAAGAGGAAAATCAGTTTTTAGCTAAATGATTGTTTTCTGTCACTTACAACCACTGAAATGCTTCTTTAAGCTTACATGATATACAAGATACAAAACTGGCTATAGCTTCTAATCAGAAGGTTTGCAATAAAGCAGATGAGAACAGAAAATCAAGGAGTAACTCAAGTGAGATGGATAAGGAATGAAGAGAGGTGGCAGGTGAAACACAGATACACTGAATGAGCATGATCAAGGTGCCGGAGCTTTAGAGAAAGGGCTTAAGAATTTTATAGTCTTCTAAGTTAGAATGAAGGCAAGTAAATGGCAGAAAAAACATTATGGACACAGAATGAGAAAAGAGATTTTTAAAACACATATTTCAGGTAAAGAAAAGATTTTGCAGTTTACAAAGGACCAAAATATGCATTACATCATTACAGAATGGTTCCAAAAGACTCCTATCTTGTCTCTTCTCCCCTTCAATAACTTCACACAGATATACCACACCCTATTTTTTATCAAATAAGACCAAGAATACATTAATACAAAGCAAAGTCACTACTCACTGTAGCCTAATTATTACCTCCACACCAGCGGAAGCATCAAACACAGCCACTGCCCCATCCAGCACTCTTAAGGAACGTTCCACCTCCACTGTAAAGTCCACATGACCTAAAAGCCCAGTTCATACAGAAAGGTTACAAAATTCAAAAAACTTGGAATATTTTAACAACTGAAAATGGTAACATGTCTTTATTTTTAAACTTTCTGCTGGTTTCTCATTAATATGCAGTTTGCCTAAAAACTACAACATCAAATGAATCAAATATGGAACCCAAGAACAAGCAATGTTGTTTGAAAACATCAAATGACAGGACAGTTATGTTATGGAATGCACTTTTTGATTACAGAGAGATTATATCCACCACCAAAAGTGATGATCATCAGAGGAATTATGTCCATATTTTCAGTAGCATCTGAGCTTATTTTGTTACATTTTTAAAAATAATAATGATAATGATAACGGTAATAACTTTATTCTTATATCCCACCACCACCCCCCTGAAGGGCTTACACGTGGCACAAAGTGACTAAAACCAAAGCATAAGAATGAGCACAATACAGTAAAAATAAAATACATGCACATAAAAACATCAACTCAGACTCAATCAAGCTGCGATCCTCTCTCCGTGGTTGTAAATTACTGTAACCATGGCCAGGCTGTAAACATTAGGAATAAAATAAGTGCCAGCTGAAGTAATGGAGCGAGGGCATGGGATACAGTACAGGATGTGCAACTACTGTGCAGGACAACTAAGGGCTAAATATTCTCAAAGGCTTGATTGAAGAGCCATGTCTTCAAGTCCCTACAAAAGGAGGACAGTGTGGGTTCCCATCTAATCTCCCTGAGGAGGGAGTTCCAAAGCCAGGGGGCCACCACCAAGAAAGCCCTCTCCCTTGTCTCCACCAACCATGCTTGTGATGGAGACGGGACCAAGGGGAGGGCCTCTCCATCAGATCTTAGAGCCCACATCAATTTATGGGGGGGATGTGGTCACAAAGATAGGAAGGACCCAAGCTGTTTAGGACTTTATAGGCGATAACTAGCAATAAATTGGGACTGGAAACTTATCGGCAGCCAATGGAGCTGCTTTAATAGGGGCATCGTGTGCTCCCTATAGCTGGTTAGTAGCCTGGCTGCTGATCTTTGCACCAACTGCAGTTTCTAAGCCATCTTCAAAGGCAGCCCCACACAGAGTGCATTACAGTAATCCAATTTTGATGCAACTAAGGCATGGACCACTGTGGCCAAGTCTGGGTTCTCGAGGTATGGTCGCAGCTGGCACATAAGTTTTAACTGTGCAAAGGCCCTCTCAGCCACCACCGGCACCTGACTTTCAAGTGTCAGCACTGAATCCAGGAGGACCCTCAGACTGCGGACCTATATCCTCAGGGGGAGTGTAATCCCATCAAGCACAAGTTGCCACCCTATAGCCCAATCAGTCCCGTGACTAACAGGATGGTCTTTGTCTTGTCAGGATTTAACCTCAACTTATTAGCTCTCATCCAGTCAATTACAGCTATCAGACACTGGTCCAGGATCCGGGGAGCTTCCTTGGAATTAGGTGAAAGAGAGTAGTGGAGTTGTGTGTCATCTGTATAGAAATGGCACTGAACTCCAAAACTCCAGATGACCTCATCCAGCAGTTTCATATAGATACTGAAAAGCATGGGGGATAGAATGGAATCTTGCAGGACCCCAGAGGTCAAAGACCAGGGGCCTCAGCAGGTGTCACCCAGTTTCACCAACTGAGTCCGATCCTCCAGGAAGGAATAGAACTACTGCAGTGCAATGCCCCCAATCTCCATTCCGGAGAGCCGCCCCAGAAAGATACCATGGTTATTGGTATCAAAAGCTGCTGAGATATCCAAGAGAACCAACAAAGGCACACTCCTCCTGTCAAGCTCTCTGCGGAGGTCATCAACCAAAGTGACCAAAGCAGTCTCTGTTCCGTGACCAGGCCTAAAACCGGACTGTGATCAAGATAATTGGTTTCATCCAAGAAAGCCTGGAGCTGAGAGGCCACCACTCGCTCTAGAACCTTGACCAAAAAGGAGAGATTAGAAACAGGCCACACTCTTCTCAGAATTATAATGAACATTTAAAGGAACATACCTGGTGTGTCTATTAGGTTAATTCTATGGCCCTTCCAGTCAAATGTTACTGCAGCTGATTGAATGGTGATGCCACGTTCTCTCTCCTGGGCCATGAAGTCTGTTACAGTATCTCCATCATCAACATCTGTTTAACAGGAAAAATATACACTTTTAGATAGGCCAAACAACTCAAACATTTAAACTGTTTAAAAAAAACACACATCAGAGGGGTTTTTAAAAAAATTACTAGAAAACAAATGCTTGTGGCTATCCAGACATTAGTACACTACAACACCCTCATCCCTCACCATTCATTGTGCTAGCAAGGAATGATAGGATTTGCAGTCCAGCACTTAAAAGGTCACTCATGTACAACACCAGTCTTCTTTGCATGAATGCAACTAGAAGTTCTATGCTTACAATTGAAGCAAGGTGCTTAGACTAAACAAATGGTACAAACACAAAAGAACTGTGGCGGAAGTGGAACAAATAACACTGAGCTGGGCTGTAGAAAAAGTAAAGTAGAGACAAATAATGAAAGGAATAGGGACTGGGAAAAATAACATATTAAGTATTAGTTTCTGATGGTCTTCTAAAGGATGAAAGAACTGGCTAAAACAGCAATGAGTGGAGATGGGTGATGATGACCATTAGAAAGTGAGGCTGGTCCTGGCTTTGTGAAGTTGAAGTAGGGACTCGAGCCAGCTACTTAAAGCGAGTAGAAATAAGAGAGAGAAAAGACAGAAGAATGAGGAGATGGCCTTGTAAAATGATGCCTAACCTGAGGCACTGGGCAGAATCTTAAAATTGCAAAAAAACATTTTCTAAGCTGATAAAACAGACATTAAATCAACTCAAAATTTTCTATCTATTCAAATTAATATTCACACATAGTTCCTCAAGGTGCATCTATTCTACACTGTAGAATTAAGACAGCCTGACACTCCTTTAACTGTTATGGCTCAATACTATGGGATCCTCGGAGTTGTAGTTTGATATGGCCTCTAGCTTTCTGTGCCAAAGACAGCTGGTGTCTCCCCAAACTATAAATCCCAGCATGACATAGCACTGAGGCATGGCAGTGAAAGTAGTCTCAAACTGCCTTAATTCTACAGTGTAGTTCCACCCACTTTCATTATCTTTTTCACACACTCACACAGTACTAACCTCCAAGGGTTCTTATATAGCCAGAATAATACAGCATCCTCTCTGTGGTAGTTGTTTTTCCTGCATCTATGTGAGCCATGATGCCAATGTTGCGGATTCTGTATGAAAGAAGAAAATATTTAATATGGCATCTACAAAAGCTTGCCAATAAAACAGCTCACAGATTATTTCTACTATCTTACATGCAAAGTAACAATTACTTACTTAGACAGTGGCGGCGTGATTATAGACCGTAAAGATTTTACTTCATCTGTAGCAAAGAAAAATAGCCAGAACAGAAATCTGCATTATTTGTCAAAGAACAGAAATTATCTTCTTTCACAGCACACATCGCTCCCAAACTGGGATCCGAAGCACAAGAGTCCACTAATGAATGTATAGCTTCCCTCGTTTTTAGGCTCCATCAGTGAAACCACTTGTTACAGAAGGATTTAGAAGAGATGCCTAGATTTATCCTTCCCCAAAATATGACTAACATAGCAAGATCTAACAGTGATAATCAGTATTGGTGCCAAGACTCTACACATCTGGAAAGCAAAAGGAATGTTTCTTCCTTCTTCCAAAATCACACAAGTGAAAACGTCTTTTTGTACAGACTATTATCAAGAGACAAAAGAAAACACATTTTAAAAGCCCCCAGCAGAATAAACAGCAAGTGTCTTGAAAATTCCTCAGAAGTTAGGCATATTATGAGTGAATTTGTTTCTTATAGAATCTCAGCAGCAATTAAACACAGAAGAAAAGAATGGATAAAAGAAGAAAACTCATAGCATTTTTAAAACTGACTTATTTCAGCATGAGCTTTTGTGGATGTTAATTCACTTCTGCAAACATACTGAATACTATATTAGCACCCAAATATTTAAGTACCCAGTAACTATTATGTTAAGCCAGTTCTTAAGATGCCACAATAGAGTACAATATTAGGTACTTAATTACAGTTATCTGGTAAACATAAAGTTGTGCATACATTATACTATGTGGCTGTAGTTACATATGTAAACCATGAAACTGAAGAAGTGGCTTAATACACAGAAATGTTCATTCAGAAATAAACCAGTTTGTCAAAAAGGTGCTACTAGATAACTTCTTCCCATCACCAACATTTTCCTTTTTTAAACTGTAACAGATTTATGCAGGTATGGTAAAAGTATGATAGTTGGGACCCAGTGCTGGTAGCACTACGCTGGTTGCATAACACGACTCTGAATTACAGAAGGGAACACATGCACCAGACACAGCACCACATGCACGAGAGACTGCATGCAGTGAGAGACGCAGCTACAACAGAATCGACTAGGAAGCTCCATAGAAAGGGGAGGGGAGGAGACAGCCAAGCATACTAATGTAGGCTATCCGGAGATCCTATGCAAACACATTCAAAAACGTTGTTGCATTGGAAGGAAGGATAAAAAGAGGGGAGAAATACGAGCAGTGGTGAAAAATGAGTCAAATTCAGTCAGTCTTATATTACTTCACTGTTATCCAGTCCCACCTGTGTTACATTACTTCACTGTTATCCTGCCGCAGCTGTGTCTCTCACCCGGTGCGCTGTCTTGTGCACATATTCCCTTCTCTAATTCAGAGCCGCGGTGCGCAGCCAGCATAGCGCTACCAGCACTGGGATCCAGCTATCATACTTTTACCGCAGGTATTTCATAGGAAGCTCTATCAACACATAAAAGACTAAGGAAAGTCGCAGAGAAACTGTCCAATGCATTTGTGTTTAAAAGAATTAAATATCCCATATACAGCCCTCCAGATGTTTTGGGACTACATTTCCCAGAATTTCTTACCATTTACTATGCTGGATAGTGCCACTAGGAGAAATCAACATCTGAAAAGTTGCATGATCCCTATCTCTAGTTTAAAATCTTATGAGACCACGCGGCTCAGATATATATTCTCCTTCATTTGGGTGAGGACAAACAATAAAAATATTAAGAGCTTTTGCATAATGGTTACCTGCTGGAAAACTGTAATTTCTCTGAAGATTCAAATTGCCTTTAACACATTTTATTGCTAGAAGTCTGGCTTTTCTGCAGTACATACACTTTGGAGAGAGAAAAAATACACAATAAACAGTCAGAAAAACTTTGGTCATTTATCAAAAATTATTCTAGCACATTTAATATTGCATTACAGAACACTGAGAAATATTTTTAAAGGTGTTACTATTGTTATTATTTCTTTCCCGCCTCTCTCCAAGGCTCAAAACAGAGTACAACACAGAATTAAAATACAACAGACAACATATAAAACCATTTAAAACACATAGTTATATAACATATAAACATAAGATTGAAGCACAAGCCATTAAAATACTTTATATTGATAATCGTATTTCCAGATTGTGATATATATGGAATGGGTTCTGACATACAAACCATGGACACAAAGGACACATCTACACTGAAGTAATGCAGTTCAACACCACTTTAGCAGCCATAGCTCAATGCTATGGAATCCTGGGGGTTGTGGTTTGCTGAGACACCAGAGAAGACTGAAGACCTTATGAACTACAATTCTTTTGATCCCATAGCCTGAAATACAACACCGCCTGAGCTCTGCGAGTGCAGCATTTTTCCAAATGAAGCAGAGAGTGTTTGAGGATCAGGACATCCGTAGGAATACCAAGATGCTTGTTTATAAAGCTGTTGTCCTCCCAACCCTGTTTATACGCCTGCAAAACATGAACTGTCTACACACTCAACTCCTGAAATGATTCCATCAGCATTGCCTCCAAAAATTCCTGCAAATCTATTGGGAAGACAGGCAGACGAATGTCAGTGTGCTGGAAGAAGCAAAGACCACCAGTACTGAAGCGATGCTCCTACGCCATCAACTCCGCTGGACTGGCCAATCACCAAATGCCCAATCACCGTCTCCCAAATCAGTTACTATACTCCCAACTCAAGAATGGAAAATGGAATGTTGGTGGACAGAAAAAGAGATTTAAAGAAGGGCTTAAAGCCAACCTTAAAAACAGTGGCATAGAACTGTTTTATTGGAAGCCCTGGCCCCTGAGTGCTCTAACTGGAGGTCAGCTGTGATCAGCAGTGCTGTGGAATTTGAAGACGCCCAAATTGAGGGCGAAAAGGAGAAACGTGCCAAGAGGAAGGTGCGTCAAGCCAACCCAGACTGGGACCATCTTCCACCTAGAAACTGTTGCCCTCACTGTGGAGGAACATGTGGTTCAAGAATAGGACTAAACTTGGACTGCCATCATACTTGAACAAGAAGGGATTGCTTAAGGAAGGAAAGATTTCATAGCATTGAGCCTTGCCAGATAAATGGTGTCAAATCGTATTAATTTTACAGTGTAGAAGCACCTTTAACCAGTCCCAAGTCCTAACCCACCCAATATATTAAAATTCCCAAGGAATTTCACTCAATGCAGTTTTTAATATAATCTTCATGCATAAAGATTATTATAATTATATTTATTTTTGTTGTTGTTGTTCATTTGTTCAGTCATTTCCGACTCTTTGTGACTTTATGGGCCACTCCACGCCAGAGCTCCCTGTCGGTCGTCACCACCCCCAGCTCCTTCAAGGTCAATCCAGTCACTTCAAGGATACCATCCATCCATCTTGCCCTTGGTTGGGACCTCTTCCTTTTTCCTTCCATTTTCCCCAGCATCATTGTCTTCTCTAAACTTTCCTTTCTTCTCATGATGTGGCCAAAGTACTTCATCTTGGCCACTACTATCCTTCCCTCCAATGAGCAGTCGGGAATTATTTCCTGGAGGGTGGACTGGTTGGATCTTCTCGCTGTCCAGGGCACTCTCAGTACTTTCCTCCAACACCACAGTTCAAAAGCATCTATCTTCCTTCGCTCAGCCTTCCTTATGGTCCAGCTCTCACATCCGTAGGTTACTACAGGGAATACCACTGCTTTGACTATGCAGATCTTTGTTGCCAGTGTGATGTCTCTACTCTTCACTATTTTATCAAGATTGGTCATTGCTCTCCTCCCAAGAAGTAAGCGTCTTCTGATTTCCTGGCTGCAGTCTGCATCTGCAGTAACCTTTGCACCTAGAAATACAAAGTCTGTCACTGCCTCCACGTTTTCTCCCTGTTTCCCAGTTATTATAATATAATACAGGGGTCCTCAAACTATGGCCCAGGGGTTGGATACGGCCCTCCAAGATCATTTGACCGGCCCTTGCTCAGGGTCAACCTAAGTCTGAAACGACTTGAAAGCACACAGCAACAACAATCCTATCTCATCAGCCAAAAGCAGGCCCACATTTCCCATTGGAATACTAATAAATTTATATTTGTTAAAATTGTTCTTCATTTTAATTATTGCATTGTTTTTAAGTGGTTTTTGAACTAAAATAAGATATGTGCAGTGTGCATAGGAATTCATTCATGTTTGTTTTGTTTTTTCAAATTATAGTCTGGCCCTCCAACAGTTTGAGGGACTGTGACTTGGCCCTCTGTTTAAAAAGTTTGAGGACCCCTGATATAATATAATAATATTTATTTTTACCCCAGTTTATCTCTTCTGAATAGGACTCAAAGCGGCTTAACATAAAACCGTTAGCACAGCACTTAACATATACAAATATTAAAACAGAATTAAATATAAACAGTATTAAAAGATTTACAGTTAACACCATTCAAACATATTTGATGCATTTCCAAAGCTAATTTATGTGTGACAGATTTAAAGTGCAGTTATAAATTAAATCAGACTGACCTTGCTGTATAAACACACCACATTGAAGGGAGCCAGCAACAACCTCCTTGTATCCCGCAACATGTTTACAGACTGTCCATAAATAACTGCCACAGAGAAAAAGAAGCTATACAGATATAGCTAATTCGCTTAAGGAAATGAAAAGGGTCCTCATTAGAACACACACAAAGAGAGAATTAGAGTAGAACTATTCTTTGGTAGTCTAAATATCCCTCTTTATTGCATAACAACCACTCATTGAGGTGCAAAAGGAAGGTCAGAAAAGAGAATGCCTGCAACTTCTGAGCTTGCTTAGCAACTTCCGGTCTGCCTCCGCATGGGACTTACGTCACTTCCACCGAGGTGTCACCGTCCTTGTCTTCCCCCTTTCATTGCCTATTCGTTCCGGAAGTGATTTCGTAGACATCCAAGAAAATATTCACTATAATATATTGATTTTTGTTATTCCTAACTTTCACTCTTTCGAAACCAAAGAGGAGGGGAAAGAAAAAGAAGCTGAATATCCCGGTGGGATCACTCAGAGGCGGAACGATAAGAAGAAGGGCCGGTTGTGGCCCGGAGCGGCTTTAGTGCCGCACTTTCCTTTTCCTCTTCGGAGGCCCAAGTGTTTGGAGTGGGGTTCGAGCTCTTCGCCCAGCATGGTGAGTAACTCCAGGCGGGGAGGGACATTTCGCTTCTACATCAACCCGTTTGCTACCGATGGGCAATACAGGGAGCGAGAGTTGCCAGATGTACACGCTGGGTTTTTTTTCGGGCTATATGGCCATGGTCTAGAAGCATTCTCTCCTGACGTTTCGCCTGCATCTATGGCAAGCATCCTCAGAGGTAGTGAGGTCTGTTGGAACTAGGAAAATGGGTTTATATATCTGTGGAATGACCAGGGTGGGACAAAGGACTCTTGTCTGCTGGAGCTAGGTGTGAATGTTTCAACCGACCACCTTGATTAGCATATAATGGCCTGACAGTGCCTGGGGCAATCTTTTGTTGAGAGGTGATGAGATGTCCTTGTTTGTTTCAACACTAGCTCCAGCAGACAAGAGTCCTTTGCCCCACCCTGGTCATTCCACAGATATATAAACCCTTTTTCCTAGTTCCAACAGACCTCACTACCTCTGAGGATGCTTGCCCTAGATGCAGGCGAAACGTCAGGAGAGAATGCCTCTAGAACATGGCCATATAGCCCGAAAAAACCTACAACAACCCAGTGATTCCGGTCATGAAAGCCTTCGACAATACATTGTACAAGCTGGGTTTAGAAAAGACAGAGGAATGAGAGACCAAATTGCCAATATCTGCTGTATAATGGAGAAAGGCAGGGAGTTTCAGAAAAACATCTATTTCTGTTTTATTGACTATTCTAAAGCATATAATGGAGAAAGGCAGGGAGTTTCAGAAAAACATCTATTTCTGTTTTATTGACTATTCTAAAGCCTCTGACTGTGTGGAGCATAATACATTGTGGCAAGTTCTTGGTGGGATGGGCATACCAAGCCACCTTGTCTCTCTCTTGAGGAATCTGTATAAGGACCAAGTAGCAACAGTCAGAACTGACCATGGAACAACAGACTGGTTCAAGATTGGGAAAGGTGTACGGCAAGGCTGCATACTCTCACCCAACCTATTCAACTTGTATGCAGAACACATCATGCAATGTGCGGGGCTTGATGAATGCAAGGCTAGGGTGAAAATTGTTGGAAGAAACATTAACAACCTTAGATATGCAGATGACAGCACTTTGATGGCCGAAAGTGAGGAGGAGCTGAGGAGCCTTCTAATCAAGGTGAAATAAGAAAGAGCAAAAGCTGAGTTGCAGCTAAACATCAAAAAACCCAACATTATGGCAACAAGAATGATTGACAATTGGGAAATAGAATGAGAAAACGTGGAGGCAGTGACAGACTTTGTATTTCTAGGTGCAAAGATTACTGCAGATGCAGACCTCAGCCAGGAAATCAGGAGACACTTCTTGGGAAGAGAGCAATGATCAATCTCGATAAAATAGTGAAGAGTAGAGACATCACACTGGCAACGAAGATCCGCATAGTTAAAGCAATGGTATTCCCCATAGTCACCTACGGATGTGAGAGCTGGACCATAAGGAAGGCTGAGCGAAGGAAGAGAGATGCTTTTGAACTGTGGTGTTGGAGGAAAGTTCTGAGAGTGCCTTGGACTGCGAGAAGATCCAACAAGTCCATACTTCAGGAAATAAAGCCCGACTGCTCATTGGAAGGAAGAATAGTAGAGGCCAAGATGAAGAACTTTGGCCACATCATGAGAAGAAAGGAAGGCTTGGAGAAGACAATAATGCTGGGGAGAGTGGAAGGAAAAAGGAAGAGGGGCCAACCAAGGGCAAGATGGATGGATGGCATCCTTGAAGTGACTGGACTGACCTTGAAGGAGCTGGGGGTGGTGACGGCCAACAGGGAGCTCTGGCGTGGGCTGGTCCATGAGGTCACGAAGAGTCAGAAACGACTGAATGAACGAACAACAACAAACCGATGGGCTCCGGGAAGGGCAGGGATAAAATAAAGCGAGGCTGTCTTTCCTACATGGTACAACTAGTCCAGCTTGATACCACTTCAACTGCTATGGAATTATGGGAGTTTTAGTTTTACAAAGTCTTGAACCTTCTCTGCCAAAGAGCCTGGGGCCTCACCTGACAACAACGCTCGTGATTCCATAACATTGGGCCATAGCAGCTAAAGTGGGTGTCAAACTGCATTAATTCTACAGTGCAGATGCCACCTCAGCTACCTCTTTTTATATTTGGACGTATTTCATAAAGGAACCCAAATCCTGGGCAAATATTCATGTTGTGTGGCCTATTTGACATTTTTCTTTCTACCACCTGGTTTGTTCAAGCAGATAGAAACTTAAGGATAGGAGCCTATATTTGGGGAGTTTAGTAGAGAAGACATTTGTTTGGGAGACTGTAAGTTGTTAGCCCCAGCTTCTGCCAACCTAGCAGTTTGAAAATATGCAAATGTGAGTAGATCAATAGGTACCACTTCAGTAGTGGGCCTTCTTGGTGGTGGCCCCCTGCCTCTGGAACGCCCTTCCAAAGAAAATAAGACAGGCCCCATCCCTCCCCTTCTTTTTGTAAGAGCTTGAAGACCTGGTGGTTTCAACAAGCCTTTGTTCTAGTCCAGACCCAAACATTGTTGAATATGGCCTTATACTTCCTACCTATTACCCCGGTCATCCCTCTAATAGGCCCTGGAAATGAGCAGCCACAGACCCGTACCTGCCATTGCTGTTGGCCTGTTATAGCACTGTACTTAATTCCCGCTCCCCTCATATTTTGAGTTTGCACTAGCCTTGGCCTGGCTTTTTAATTGCTCTGAACAGGCAGGATTATTTTTAATATAGATGTGTTATTGTGATAATTTTATGCTTATGTTGTTTGTTAATTTTATGTTATGCTATTTACTTTGTATGTTTCCTTGATGTTCCTTGGAAACTACCCTGAGTCCCCCTTGGGGAGATAGAGCGGTATATAAATAAAGTTTTATTATTTATTTTATAGTGGCGCTCCATGCAGTCATGCTGGGCTCATGATCTTGGAGGCATCTAAGGACAGTGCCGGCTCTTTGGCTTAGAAATTGAGATGAGCACCACCCCACAGAGTCGGACTCAACTAGACTTAATGTCAAGGGGAAACCTTTACTAAGAATTGCAGAGTAATGGCCTAAATCAGGCACAGGCAAACCAGCTGTTAGGAATTGTTGTAGTTGGGAGTCCAGAACACCTGGTAGGCCCAAGTTTGCCGGTGTGTGGCCTAAATATTCTAAAGTGTTATTTTCCCAACTCGTCTTCAGGTGTTTTGGATTTTGACTCCCAGAGGCCTCATCTGCAGTGCATTTGAAACTGGTTTTCTTTTGTTATTCTTCTGATGGTGGAAGGGCAAAAGTATAGGAAATGAATTGAACTATGGACATTAGTGTTGTTTTTGTTTTTGTAGTGTTGTTTATTTGAAGATTTTTGCTTGCCGTCCAGTCCTATGTACATTTATATAGAAGATTAATCCCACTGTCTGGGTTTCCAATCCTATTCACTCTCTGGTTTTCCAGATGTTCAGGACTCAAAATTCCAGAGCTTAGGCTATGCCAGCTTTTGGAAAACCAAGGCTTCAGAATCATTAGTCTAGACTCCAGAATACTGGCATTCAAGTACCAGTAACATCATTATTCTGGGGTCTACAATAATTATTCTGATTTTGAAGGCTTGCATTTCAAGCGTATTTATGAAAAAATTATCATTTATGTAGATAACCTCAAATATTTAGACAAATAAGGAGTTTTGTCATAATCTGCTTGAAGTAAGAGTCATATTTTAGTAGTAAGCAGCCAATCATAGGTAGTTCTTACATGAGCTGATACGTGAATTTGACATATGTTAAAAAAGAAAAACTTGCTTATATTTCTTTTACATGCACTTTGTAGCCTCAGAACGAGTACATCGAGTTACATCGGAAACGATATGGCTATCGCTTGGATTACCATGAGAAGAAAAGGAAAAAAGAGAGCCGTGAGGCTCATGAGCGCTCAAAGAAAGCCAAGAAAATGATTGGCCTGAAAGCCAAGCTTTATCACAAACAGCGCCATGCAGAAAAGATACAGATGAAAAAGACGTGAGTGAGCTTGTGTACAGCTGAGCAACTTTGAATTATTGACATATTTCAAATCTAGCCTTAATATCATTCATGGCTAGTACCCAAAGCTTGTTTGGGTACTGTAGTGAACTCTTAATAATTCATCTTGGCTCCATGTAACTACAGTCATCCCTTCACATTTACAAATTAAACATTCACTATTGTATTACTTGAAGATAACTGTATTTCCTGGTGCCTCTGCTACCAGCCTACATGTTTAACAGGACTTCGAGAACATCAGTGCTGCTGGAGGGCATTAAATCTCCATCTACCCCAGAGCATTTCCATCACACTTCCTTCACTCCTTCCATCATATCCCCTGCTTATTCAGTGAGCAAGTGAATGAGGGAGTATGTCCGACCCAGTACCCTGTATGTTAAATACAGTTTAGAAGCATGGAGTTAGTTAAGGTTTTTTCTGCTTTCATGGGGCCCTGCACCCCCCATCCTTGCAAAGGTAGAAGAATTACTATATGTCAGGAAAAATTCATCACTGATTATTAATTATTAATTCTTCTTTTTTTTTCTTTTAATGTGATTCAGTTACTTACCTTCTAAAAGAGCAATGTGACCACATTATGGTGCTTTCCCCCCTTTAACTGTTTTCATTTTGGTTTGTTGTGAACTCATGACTACTGCTTTATCAGTTTTTGAACATTTTCTACACATATTATTCTAGCATTAAAATGCATGAAAAGAGAAATACCAAACAGAAGAATGATGAGAAGACTCCAGAAGGAGCTGTGCCGGCATACCTGCTGGACAGAGAGGGTCAGTCTCGGGCAAAAGTTCTTTCCAACATGATCAAACAAAAGCGGAAAGAAAAAGCTGTAAGTATATACACAAGTAAGAGATATTGGCTTACTAGATAGTAACCCTGATGTCCATTTAGTACACTTACTTGAAGTATTTATAAACTGATTTGCTGCCCATCAGGGCACCCAAATCCATTAATGGTATAATATATTACAATTTAAAAAATGACAGTATAAGGTAGTACAGACTATTTTTAAAAATAAGCCCAAACTATCCAAAGATAATTTATCTTGTGTATACCTTTCTCATTTTCTGAACTCCTTTAACAATCTTACTGCTTTTATCATCAGGGAAAATGGGAAGTTCCTATACCCAAAGTCCGTGCCCAGGGAGAGACCGAAGTGCTCAAGGTGATCCGTACCGGAAAGAGGAAGAAGAAGGCATGGAAGAGAATGGTTACCAAAGTGTGCTTTGTTGGGGATGGCTTTACCCGCAAACCTCCAAAATATGAGCGATTCATTCGACCAATGGTAATAAAGGCTTTCATAACTTTATATCTGCATCTAATTATAGTTTATTGCACAATTATCTTTGTTCAATAAAGTTAAACAATGAAGGATATTTAGCCATAATGAAAAATGCACTTTTTTTGGATTTACTTTAACAGTTTTGCATATCTTTTTATTACATAACAGGGTTTACGATTCAAGAAAGCTCATGTAACACATCCTGAACTCAAAGCCACTTTTTGCCTACCCATCCTTGGTGTAAAAAAGAATCCCTCTTCTCCCCTGTATACATCTTTGGGGGTCATTACGAAAGGCACAGTCATCGAGGTGAATGTCAGTGAGCTCGGTCTTGTAACGCAAGGGGGCAAAGTAGTCTGGGGTAAGTATTCAAATACCCTTCACAAGCAGCACATCTTAGATACTACTAGGTTGAAGGATAGTCTAGGTCTGGGGATCTCAAACCGCTTCAGCCCTTTTTGAAGCAAAGGTTTTTTATGGATCCCCAAGAAAATTTAATATACAACTTAACAGTATTTCAGTAGGAACAGTAAAGGCACCTTGCCCTTCACTACTACTGAATTAAAAATTGTCAGGATGGGTGCAGGATCAATCTTACAAAATTGCAGCACTTTAGCCTGAGTACAGTAGATGCTAAATTAACCAGAACTACAGCAGCTGGCACTCTCTGGAAACTGGCATGCGCGCATATATATATATAGGAATTTTTAAAAATCACAAAGCTGTTAGTAAAACTAAGTTTATTATGTTAAGTTATGGTAAGTTATTAAGTTATCTTTATTTGTTGCAATTTGCTTTTAATTACTGTATTTCAATATTGATATTGTCAATGTAGAGTTTATGATGTAGTACAGTATTGGGTATAATATTAGGTCTATTTTTAATAGTAACGCTGGTATGAGAGGCAACATGATAGCCATGTTTAAATATTTGAAAGGGTATCATGTTGAGGAAGGGGAAGTTTGTTTTCTGCTTTGGAGACTAGGACACAATGGAGCAATGGATTCAAATTGCAGGAAAGAAGATGCCACCTAAACAGTCGGAAGAACATGCTGAGGGCTGTTCAGCAGTGGAATGCTGTTGCCTCAGAGTGTAATTGAGACTCCTATGGAGGTTTTTAAACAGAGGCTAGGAATGGTTTGTGTGTTCCTGCATGGCATGGGGTTAGACTGGATGGCCTTTGTGATCTCTTCCAATTCTGATTCTATGATTGTATGTAGTTTCTCAACCAGAGACTGTTTATCTGGCATCGACAAATCCCCATAAGTTCCTGTTAACTTTGTGCAAATTGACAGAAGGGAAATTTGTCAGCCTTCGTTTCCTCCACAGCAACATCCTGATCACAGCTGTGTCCCTGGCCAGTGTTTTGCTGCAGGGGAGAGCTAGGGATGGTCAGACTGTCCTTTCACATAAGGGGAGGACTGTCTTCCTGTAAAGCCGCCCCTTCCCCCTGAGATGCATATTGGCAGCTATAGTAGAGCAGTACATCTGGGAATGAACTACAATTAGAAGCATCATCCATCCCCAGCTGCCGTTATGCAGCCAAGTCAAGGATAGTTGCTTGAGATGATATAGCATCCTTTGGAGCAGTGGTTCCCAACATGTGGCCTGTGGACCACCTGTGGGTCCCAAGAACTAAAATGTGGTCCACGACCTCACTGTTACACCGTTGCAACAAGATGACTGGTTTTGCAAAACCCTCTTATAGTGCCGAGGCAACGGGCATGTCGGGAGGGGAGAGACTGACTACCCACAAAAGGAACAAGAACAAGCCTCCTGACTGCTGCTTCTCCTCCTGCCTTCCCCTGAGCACAGCTGTTCCATGTGGTGCCTGGAAGCAGGGGCACCTTGGTGTCTTCGTTTTTAGGCCTGTTCCTGGGATTATTTGGGGTGCTGTTCAGGAAATTGCATTGGATAGACCACATCAGCTCTAGATTATTAAATATGGTTTTCTGTGAGCGAGCAGATGGCAACTATTGGATGGCATATGTTCTGTATCAGAAACTAGAGCTGATGTGGTCTATCCAATGCAATTTTCTGAACCAGCACCCAAATAATCAAACAAAATCTAAATTTGACCAAAACTGGATTCTTAACCCTTTTGGTACTAAAGTTGGAGAGTGGTCCCTATGGAAAAAAAAGGTTGGGAACCATTGCTTGGAGGAAACACTAGCAACATTCACCTACAAGATCCTGGCCTTTGTTGTTGCCTGTTTTTATGTACATTTATTGTAGGTGTATTAAGAGTAGGAATTAGCCTAGGAGCACATGCCATTTTAGTACTCATTCTTAAACTTTTTTCCCCTTTTTCAGGAAAGTATGCACAAGTAACCAACAATCCAGAAAATGATGGGTGCATTAATGCAGTTCTTCTTGTATAAGAAGCATGTTTCGCATGCCACACTTTCCCAAGTGGGAGGAAGACTGCCTCAGACAATTTGTAGATAAAAAAACTTGTTAAATTATCAACAACTGAAGATAAAGGACTGGCTTTTCTTTTTGCATTACCAAAAATAAAGGACACCAACTTGGACCAAAGCTTGTTTTTGCTGACTTGAAGGAAGAGGCTTATTAAATTGATACAATAATGTTTTCAAAACATGCTTCTTTAAAACAAAGTTTATGGTTAAAGATATGTGATGATTAACTTGAAGAGGGTAACCAGGATGAACCTGATACTGACACCTGTTACAGGGACAATAGAGAATATGCAGTAACATATTCAACAGGTAGTGATATAGGATGAAAACCTTTTATTCACTAGGTGAATATAATTTGGATACCAGCAGATTAGTTTTTAGGAGGAACGCAAAGCAGAAGCAACTATTTTAAGGCTGTAGAGACAGACCTATAAAGTGAAGGTTAAATCCAAGGGGTCATCCAAGGATTACCCTTCCCTTCAAGAACTCAGTGCCACTTCCTCTCACGGCTCAAGGGGTGTAGTTGTGAGATCACTACCTTTCCACATGCATCAGTTTTTACACAGTCTTCCTGCAGCTTGCCTTTCATTAAAGTGAAGTTTCAATTGACCCCAAGTAATTCAGTGGACCTGTTGGTCTTTAGCGATGGAAAAAAGTACACAAGGTATATTGAAAATTTTGCAGATTTCAAACTTGATAGCAGTCGGAAAATTACAAAGTAATTTTAATTGTTGGAACACAGAAACTACACATTGCAGAAGGAGAAACTAGAAAACATTGAACAGAATGCTATAGTAGGGCAGCAAAGTTGTTTTATTAGCAGTACAAGCCCACTAAACACCTCCCATGCCACATTTGTGACAATTCCCTTAAACTGAAGGTCCAGTCCTGTAACAATAACAAAAATGAGGGTGAACCTGGAACCTGAATGTATGTTGTTTGTAGCTGTGTAACAAGATGGCAAGATTGCAGTCTTGGAAACTATAGTGACGAGCATGAAGAAAACACGTCAGAAGAGCATGGAGCTAAATGGTAAAACATTTTATTACACACAAGACAAAGTCTTATACTGTTCATGCAATCAATTTAGTAAAGTTGTTCTGCATGAAATTAAACTTCTTGCAAACGATGTGTCCACAGGATGTAAATCACAACTTGACATTTAGAATAGACAGTAAGATCTGAGCAAATAGTGAGCTCCAAGAAAGCTACACAGCTAAAAGCAAAGTTCACATACTAACTTCCTTTAGGTTCTAACCTGCACCTAAAAACAATTGAATGGATAATACTGCTTCTTAATTGTAAGCAATACACTACACACAACATGTTTTTGTCACATCTGCTGCAACTCCTGGTAAAGAATTGGTCTATTTTTTTCCTTTATAGCTATAACAGGTATTTTATGTTGCCTATTAACACATCAAAAACCCCTGTCATGTTTCCATTCAGTTTTACAAGCTTGTTCTTTCAGCATTGACATTTCTAGCTTAGTAACAGTTGCAGTAAAATATTCTTACAAATACTGAATTGTGATACTTATGGAGCAAGGTTATCAAAATGTGATCTGGATCAGGAGGAAAAGAGTTGTATTTTCAGGCTCTATATTCCTCAGTGGGTCTTTGTAAGTCTACACTCAGTTTACTTCTACGTTTACCTGTGGGCTTATTCTAAAGATGCGTTTTGTAGACAAATTGTGTTCAGAGAGATGTATGTAAACAAGAATCCAGAAAAATTCTTAACATTTCTGCAAAACTTCTTCATATTTGCATACAAGGACAGAAATGGCTCCAGTTTACATACAAAGCGATCTACAGCAGTGCTCCAGGAAGTCACAAATATTAATACGAGAGTTCCTTCAGGTTTCATAATATAGTACAAGACCTCAGAAGGATTGAGAAACTGAACCATTGGTAATAAATTCTATCACAGACCATTTTAAGTTTCAAAATTAAAATGGTCTCCAGGAACAAAGCTTCGTGGCTTTAAATGTAACAAGACAAGTATATGATTTGGGGAAAACACAATAATTTAGAGCACACCACTTGCTAGCCATCATAGAATACAGACTTGAGCCTCCTCAAAAGCATAGTTTTGCTTTACAGTTTCATTAAAGGTTTACTTTATTAAGGTTTAGCCCAACGCATCTAACGACCACATCCTATATCTTAAAAAGATTTCAGCAGTTCTCACCCTCAAAAACTCCCAATGCAGACTCTAAATTGTCAGTCTTCTATTTACAAACTAAAAAACAACGACCTTACTACTATGAGACATAAACTGTTAATCAGAATTAGAAATGATGACAGTACACTTGAATATGTTTTCTTATGAACACATACTTCTGCAAATACATTCCTAACCCACAATATACAAAATGTACATCAGTAGAAAAAAGTGCGGCATCCTGAAAATGCAGGCTTCACTCAGCACTTCTTTACACTTCAAATCCAAAACTTCTCGTGGCATGCTTTATAAAGAAAAAGGCAGCACATTCGTCAAGACAAAGAGTTTTAGAAAAGCCATTGAGTTCTTAGAAAATCCAGAGTTTGTACAACCAGAAAGCCAAAATAGACCAATTCTTAGCAAGTTAAAACCAAAATACTTCAAAGCTATTCCAATGAAGCATTATTATTATTATTATATACTAAAAGAGAACTTGTCTCTAATTTAAGACAGTGGCCTAAATCCCATGAGGATATCCACTAACAGGAATGCTTCCATGAGCAGAATCCAAAGAAGAACTTATATCCCACACTGCAGCTATCTCTACACCCTAAAAACCTGCCCTGGGAGGCTGAGTAACCATTCGGATCAGGATTTCAGTTGGCAGGAGGTTCTGTTAGATTGGATCTAGACTATTATTTGTAGACTGTGTCAACTTATAAAAAGTGCAACCATACAAATCTTGAGGTTCTTACCTGTGTCTATGCTGCTATCCTAAGTTATACTCAGTCTATTAATTATATTACAGTCTTCATTTGTGAAAGAAAACTAGTCTATTCACAGGTGAAATAAGCAGAGGATTTCAATATGAATCAGGCTTTGCAGATCCTACAGCCGGAAATATATTTAAGCACCAGTGATACTGTGCCTATGATGAACTGAAAATAAAAAGGGGGAAGATGAGCAAATCTAATCATGTATAGTGTCCAATATTTATTTATCCCTGGTATTATTAAATAGGACTTTAATTGACTATAAAATAATTATTCAAATTTTAAAGAAACTATAGTCACAAGATTGGTTCCACACAAGCTTGGGAAGTTATCAAGACTTAATATGGCATGTAATTAATCCTTCCACATCATGATGTAAAACCTAAAAGCAGACTAGGTTTGCCTTCTCCACTTGGTGGATGGAGGGGCATTCCAGGGCTTTCCACATTTGATCCTAAAGCATCCATAATCCTGCCCACTGAATGAGTTGATGGGAATTGTGGTCCAAAATCTCAGTAAGACACAAGATTGTTTACCAACATCTCAGCGCTACCTCCTGGGGACCAAAGAACCATGCGACATGTAATTATCAGGAAATCAATATGTGTTTCACCCACTTTGAAGAAATAGTTATTCTACATAAGAGTGTGCAAACTGAGCCAAATCGGATACTGTAGTAACTAAAGTCCAAGGTGGCATTTGCCTGGTGGTTCGACATCTCTAATATGACTGATAACAAAAAGCATTATACTAAAATAGGTACTTCCACTGTTTTTAAAGCAAGATAGAGCATGTACCTCGTACCTGACCTTTATCTCCTTGGATAATGAGTAAATGCACAAAGCATATAGCCTAAGAAAGAAAATGGGGTTTGAAAGCAGTGTCTGAATACATGAGTCTCCTGGTGTTTTGTTTAGTTTGTCCTTTAAAAAAGAAGCGGAAACACATTGTTCTAACTGAGTGACAACAGCTCTTCTTTCAAACAAGCTTTCCCTTTTTCTTCGGTGGTCCTTTATATCCTTTGGCCTTTCTTCGTAAGGTCCGCCTGTCCACTATGGGCACCTCAATTTCCACTTCCTCTGAACTGCTGTCGGCAGCTCTCTCTGACGCTGGCTCAGCTGACTCTTCAGATTGTTCATCCAGTTGGTTCTTGTGTGCCTCTGAATGCTGCTGGTATGAGATGTCCTCCAGTTCAACCATCATCAAAGCCCCTTGACCCAAAACAACAGGGGCTTCTGGGGAGTCGGACCCTCCCTCCTCACTTTGCTCCTCCAAGGAAGAGGTTGTGTTGGGAGACACGTTCTCTGAAACATTATCTTCCGGTGCCTCCACAGAGTTTGAAAGGCCATTATTGGAAGGTTCCTCCTTGTCTGCTCCTGAATCGGGATCTGCATTTTGAATAAGCCCTCTCTTTTTCTGTGTTGCTTGTTGCTCCTCTTCCACAGGCACTTCAGTCTCTGCCATGCCATCATCCTGAAGGGTGAGAAAATGGACAATTGTTAACAGTGATACATGCAACCAAGGCTACTATAGATTGCTGTAAATTTTTCGGGCTGTATGGCCATGTTCCAGTAGCATTGCCTCATAACATTTCAACTCCATCTATGGCTGGCATCTTCAGAGGTTCTGTTGGCAGTGAGGCAAGTGGAGTGTATATATACACCTGTGGAATGTCCAGGGTGGGATAGATACTTACTCCACAGGATATATACACTCCATTTGCGTCATTGCCAGCCACAGATGCCGGTTAAATGTTATGAGACAATGCTACTGGAACATGGCCATACAGACCGAAAAACTCACAGCAACTCCGTGATTCCAACCATGAAAGCTTTCAACAATACAAGGCTATTATACTTTGCATATAACTTTCACTTTACTTTTTTCCTTAGGAGGACATTGATTTGTCCTACCACATAGAGTTGGGTCTCCTCATTTGCTGGGGTTAGGGGAACAGGACTCCTGTGAGCTTGAAAAACTGCAAATAAAGAAACTGCTACTTTTTACTTTAAAGAACATCTCTATATGAATTTCTAGATCATGCAGCACAAGTCTATGGTCAATTATTTATGTAAGCCGCCCTGAGTCCCCCTAGGGGTGAGAAGGGCGGGGTATAAGTGAATGAAATAAATAATAAATAAATAAATTTCCACTGGAAGCTAAATACGGAATCATACTAGAA